AAACCCATTTTTTGTGATTTCAGCCAAAATCCGTTATTTTTCAGTTTTTCCAATATAACTTTGAAACTGATGATTTTTTAAAAAAATGACCAATAGGAAAGTTGAAGTTGACTAAATTCCTGACAATTTGCAAAAAAGAACAACGTGATAGCTCTAATAGTTTTTGAAATACAACCTCTCAAAGTGGACCCTATTGAGGTTTTATCTCACTTGTTACCATTGTATGTAAAACCTCAAAAAAGGTCAGCTTTGAGAAACTGTATTTCGTCAATTATTAGAGCTGTCATGTTGTTCTTTTTGCAAATTGTCAGGAATTTAGTCAGCTTCAACTTTCCTGTTAGTCATTTTTTCAAAAAATCATGTTTCAAAGCTATATTTTGGAAATCTGAAAAATACCAGATTTTGTCTAAAATCACGGAAAAAATGGGTTTTTTGCAGAAGCTATATCTCGGTCAATTTTTTAACTACAGGGTTGGATTTTTTTAAATTACTTAGAATTTTATACACTTTTTTTCTATAAACTATTTTTACTCTAAAATGTAATGAGAAGCAATAATTTGCAAATAACTGATTTTTTGAACCTTTTTTACAAAAAAATTTAAGGTTCCTGTAAGAGTTCGAAAGTTTTACCCCAAAAAGAAAGGTTTAAGCAAAAAAAATTGATTAAAAATTGAGTTAAAACATAATATGCCTTGTTTTTACACTAATTTGACTGGACTATACATATAGGGAAACCTAAAGAATGCTGAGCGAACACTTGCGGAAAATCTACTATATTTGAAAAATATCCCCCCAAAAAGGCTTGAATTAAAAAGTATTAAAAGTACCTAATATTCGAAAAAATTATGAATTAATTAATTCTATTTAATTTTTCACTACCCTCAAAAGGAGAGAATTTTGAAATATTTAATTCATTTCTATTACTAATGCAACTTGTATTCCATTAGACGAATGTATTTCGTAAATTTTTAATTTAAATAATAGAATGTTATATATTATGTATATAAATTAAAAAGCTAGACAGAATTTCAGAAAAACATATGACAAGTAATCGATATCTGCGCAGAAACGCCACCCGCATTTCAATTCCCGAATAACTAAAATACAATTCAAGAGTGTTTGGTAAACTTATATAGTCTTTATAGGAAACAGTTTAATATTAACTGGAGATTACTCTGTCAATTACTAAGTTATGAAAAATTCTTTAACTTTTTTATAGAAATACTACAATGTTCTGAACTTTTTAAAGAATGATAAGTAAAAAAATCGAAAAAATAACTAGTTATTAATTTATCAGTAACAGTGATGTAACTAATGTATATCATGGTTTGTTTGGAAATTTGTTGTTTTGAATACAACTTATTTTTAAATATATTACTTAACATTATAGCTAGGAAGTAAAAAAATTTATGGCGCAGCCTTAGGTCCCATAGAATTCGACATGCACATCGTTTAAAGTTTTTGAAGCTTGCGCGGCAATCTTGCAGCATGTTTGTCGAGTAAACTTGCACTTAGGATTGGCTAAACTGCAATACGCCATCTAGTGTTTACCTACTTCTGACAACCATTTTCCTTTTTCGTCTTTCTTTAATTAACACGATAAAAATGGAAATAAAAACCAAAATATCTGACAAAGTAGGTAAAAGTCACTAGACCGCCAATCCCAATAGAACATTTTGGAAAGGCTTCCATTGTCTCCACTCGCCATTAATAAGGGTGGCTGGTCAACATAACCTCAAAAACCAATCAAAACTAAAAAATTGTTTTTAACGCAAACAAAAATATAAAAAATATTAATTTCGAACTATTTTAGAAGATCTAGATATACTCCTTTCGAAAAAAATTATTTTCTTCGAAAATATTTTGTCAATAATTATTTTTTTAACATTTAGTTTTTTTTTCTTTTAAATCAGACAAAAATTGCAATTTTTAATAAATTTTTATAAACAAAAGCTCATTTTACTCAGTGAAACATTCTCTACAATTGTTACCTTTTTTTATATTATAATAAGTATGTTCTTAAAAAGTTATAAACAATTAAAATTTTATTTATTAAATAACTTTTTAAGAACATACTTATTACAATATAAAAAAGGTAACAATTGTAGAGACTGTTTCACTTAGTAAAATGAGCTTTTGTTTATAAAATTTGGTTAAAAATTGCAAATTTTGTCTGATTTAAAAGAAAAAAAAAACTAAATGTTAAAAAAATAATTATTAACAAAATATTTTGGAAAAAAATAATTTTTTTCGAAAGGAGTAAATCTAGATCTTCTAAAATTGTTTGAAATTAATATTTTTTATATTTTTGTTTGCGTTAAAAACAATTTTTTAGTTTTGATAGGTTTTTGAGGTTATGTTGACCCGCCACCCTCCTTAATCATAATTCTCGTCAACTACCGGACCCTGCTCTAGTGAAAATTTAGTGACTTTATACTTAAAATTAAAATTAACTATAAAGTCGCTATATTTTCACTAGAAAATTTAGTGGCTTTATAGTTAAAATTAAAAGTAATTACAAAGTCACTAAATTTTCACTAGAGCAGGGTGCGGTAGTTGACGAGAATTTTGATTTAGTTTATGGGGATTTTGCCATTAAAATTTTTTGTTCAGGAGACAATAAGCTGCAAAGTTTATAAAAAATTTGACCGAAACTTTAACTTTTTAAGCTTCTAGCGACATCCATTATGAAAGTGAGATACTAAAACGTGTTTTTGACTCAGTCGCTTACTTATTTTGATTTATTTAATCTGTTGTTAAAGACAAAGAATACTCTTCACAAATTTAATCGAGTGAATATTTTTTTCAAGGTCTAAAGTAAAATTTAATGCTGAACACAAATATCGTAATCGATTTTTTGATATTTCAAGGTCATGTGGGACCAATTATTTTTTTTAAATTTTTTTGTAGAAAAAAGGGGTATACGTATTTGTTTATTTGTTTTTATAAGTGCCCAAATTTTTGAGTTATGAATTTTTAAAAATCTGGGTTGACCAAGGTTTTTTTTAAACTTTGGGCACGATTTCTTTTTTAATTTTACATACCTGGAAATACTAAGAATATTTTGCAAAAAGTTTTAGAGTGGACCTGATGATGTTTTTTGTTTAAATAGTTTATTTAAACAATTTTTTTTTTCATTTTTCGTTTATATTTATTTTTCATGTAAGCTTTTCTGAAGTGAAAAATCCTAGTGGACAAAAAACTTTTTATTTTGAAAAATAAAAAAAATGAATGAAAAAAAAATTTATTTCAAACAAATTATTTAAACAAAAAGGATTATCAGGCCTAGTCTACAAACTTTTTACAAATTATTCTTAGTATTTCCAGGTATGTAAAAATAAAGAAAAAAATTTAAAAAATCGTGTCCGAAATAAAATATATTAATTTGTTTATAAAAAATCGTTATTTTTTATATAAAAATTCAAATAATTTGTTTTTTAATTAAAATTTTCGACTAATTAAGAGCCTTAATTTTCTGATTAAACTTTACATAGTAAGTGAAATTTTACATTAAAATTTATTTTTCTAGAGGTGGTTTCTACCCTTAAAATTTAGCCTTGGCACATATAAAAAAAATACGTGTCTCATATTTATGCCTATTTTTTGAGAAAATCCTTGGTTCATCGAAATCGGTGAGTTCGTGTTCCCTAGTGTTGTGTCACTAAATGAAGTCTTTCATCATAAAAAAGTAACATTTTCTATCATTTTAAATGATTTAATTAAACTTAAATTTTTATTATTAAATTCAAATTAAATAGGTAATTGTAAAATAATGAAATACATAAAAATAGATATTTCTTCGTTTAATTTTAATTTTTAAAAATTTATATTATCTAAATTAAAGAAATATTAAATACAAGAAAAAGGAAATTCAAAAAATGTTTTATCAGTAAAATAAAAAAAATTTTTAATTACTGATTAATAGTGCCTGAAAATTTATTTTTAAAATGTATTATTTTTTTTAATTAAAAAAATTAAATTATTTCTAATTATTTTAAAAAATACCAAAATTGATATAAAAAAAATGAATTGAAATAAAAATATTCTTTAAAAAAAAAAAAAAAAAAATGAAAACCTAAAATTTTATTGAATATTGGAAATTCGTTACAATGACAAAGGAAATTGGTGACATATTTACAGCACGAGGTAGAATTAATGGACAAATTCAATATAACAATAGAAATTGGAAGAAAGAAAGTTATTGAAAAAAAAATAGACAAAAATTGAAAAAAGAAAAACTGTGAATGCGTAAGAATCAAAACAAAGCGATATCAATGACAACATGCGCTACTTCATGATGTCGATCATTGTTGCACAATTTAATCTTGTTCTATCCTCGTGTGTATCATGACAGCTGTCTCACTCGCTCATTTTTCTCAAGCCCTGACCAGTTCTCAAAACGAACGTAATGAATCAAACCAGTCTGGAGAGACTATTTAATTTTAAGCCTTTTCATCATATGTCTATCGTTTGTTGAAGAATGAGAATAAATTGTAATAATTGATGGAATAAGGTTAAGAATAATTGTCTATTTGAGACAATACAAGTTCTACTTATAGATATATACCTAATTCTACTTGAAATGCATATTAAATGTCGTTTTCACGAATCAATATTTCCCAATTTTTTTTTTCTTTTTGAAAATATTATTATTAGTATTATTTCAACAGCAGTTTGGGGTTTTAAAATAAAGTGAAAAATAAAAATAAAGTTGCGAGCTAAATTAGTATATAAATTAAGACGATAGAAATCTACATATGGTTCGAGGCCCATTGTGCACGAGCTTAAGTTATGAGAAGAAAGTTCGTCATTAGGTTTCATCATAGCTTTCGTTAATAGTATTAACAGCGAATTATCCGAAAATAAACATATGTACTTTCGAAAATATGGAACGAAATAATTTTATCAAAAGAGAATATATGTCAACAAGATTAATTTATACGAGATTTCAGAAAAGTGGAAAAAAGTTAATTTTTTATTGTGAAATTCGAAAGTCTTACCGATCGAAAGTACAAGTCGATATAGCACAATCCACGTATCCTGGAGTCAATCCTAAGGGTCAAATGATTCGATCGGGTTCCATGATGGTTTTAGTTGTCAAAGCACTTTTTAATCAGCTCAAATTGTCTTTTAATTTAATTGCCACACAATGACGTTTCGTTGGTAGGAATTTTCTTTACAGAACAAACACGCAAAAACTGGGAGAAAAATCGTCAAAAACCGAACAAAAACTTCACGAATATAACATACACACAGGGTGAAGGCCTGTTACCAACTGACCCAGGCGATGACAGCTCTCCAAAGAAACACTGTTGCCAACTGCTGAACTTGACACTTTGTGTGTAATGCAGCAAAATTTTTTTATTTTGCAATCTCTATTATGACACACGAAAGTTGACATCTTTTTCTCAAAAAAAATATTAACTGTCCACCTTTCACAAATAACAAACACTGGCATTATTAGATATAAAAATTAAATCTATTATCAAAACTTGGTTGTAAAAAGAAAAAAAAAAAAAGAAAAAAGGAAATGAAAGTTACTTATGTAATTTTAATTAATACAAAAATTTTAATAATTGACAGTCAGCAGTTGGAATAGAATGATTTTTTATATTAATGATTTTTTTTAATTAGCAAACAAAAAAGTATAAAAAGAGACAATTTTTTCCAATTTCCTTTGTTACATGAACAATGAACAAAGAAAAATTTCTGATATTTGAAAAATGAAAATTATTATTAAAATTTATAGTCATGATACATAGAATAATTAAATATAAAATAAAAATTTCCTCATTTATTTATATCTATTTGAAAAATATGAAAATTGTTCACTTATTGTTTAAATAATATATGAATGACATTAATTATAAAGGTTAAACTTTAAACAGTTGGCAACAGTGATCGATCATATGGGCAATCAGCTGTACTTTCTGTTATGGTCATACCACGTGATTGGGCGAACTCCCACCATTTACCTTTGCCTCGTGTCTGTAGTCTTGTCCTTTTCTAATGAACTAATCTTGCTCGAATCTCGTCATTATCATTGTACATACATACATACATACACATATTGTTAAGTTGCATTTTACTCAGCGCTCATTTTATTATAAATATATAATTTTTTTCATTACAGCACACGTACTTAATGCGCATTTTCTATCAATTTATCTTTTCGAATGATTAAATTATATAAATAATAATAATAATTTGATTAGAGACTATTTTACATAATTCTTATTTGCGATTAATTATTCATATATGGTATTAATGTGGGTTAACATCTTTAACCTATATAAAAGTAAAGAACTAAAAATAGATTAACATTCGTGTAAAAGGGTCAATATTTCGCTAAATAGTTATATATTTATAAAAATTTGAACATAAATATTACAAATCTTTTCAGAATAAGGAATTGATTTTTTTCTGCCACGAATAAGTAACTTCCACGTTAAATAAGGCAAAGTCCGAGTCATTGATTTTTTTAATACTGCCTTAATAATTATTGCATAGTTTATATGTTGAGTATGATAGGCGCAAAGGGCCTTTAAAAATTATTTAAATCAATATTATTTACTATTATTAACATATGAGAGATTTCACGTGAAATTTACCTATGACCTTTTAAATTCGGATAAATATATTGTTTTCGTTCTTTCCAAAAATAAAAAAAAAAATGGTATACGTTAATCAATTTTGTACGTTCGAGTAGTATTTTAATTATAAATAGGTAGATAATAACAATAACATTCGATTTTGTTTATTTAATTCATTTTATTTTTTTTCCAACGTTTCGAAATCGAAATGGCTTTCTCTTCAGGGAGTCTATCTATATACAAAATTACAATATAAAAATCTAACGAAAATATTGATAAAATTAAGAAAAATAACAAATAAATTTAAAATCTTATCAAAAATTAAGAATAAATGACATAAAAACTTATAAATCATTAGTCGCGAATAAAATTTATCATAAAATAATTCGTGATATGTATAGATACTGATTTAACTAAGTAACATATTGGAGAATAATAATAGAGGTTGGAGTCAAGTACTAAAATATAAAAATAAATACCTACTATGAAACAAGAAATATTTAATCATAAGTAATTTAGTGAATTAAAATTAATAAAGTTAAAAATTAAACATTAATATATTATTATTATTTATAATTAATTAATTAATTGATTATAATGAAATAATATAAGAAAATAAATAAAATAAAATAAATATATAAAACAAAAATAAAAAATTAAATAAATAAGGGAGCGTTTATAAACTACGTAGTTTGATAAGGGGAAGGGGGTAACTACGAAGTTAATAGAAACTGAAATTAATTAATTTACACGACTGGTTAGTTTTACCGTTTACCGAAAATTTCTAAAAATCTTTTCCCCCACAGCACCGAAACTTTCCTAAAGGAACCCTAATGCGAAAATTTAAATCAATAATTATTTATTTGAAATGTGGTCAAAAAGTGACAAAAATATATCTGGGTGATTCTCTCAAAAAGGACAAATTACGCTTTTAAGAAATTGTGTTAAAAAATATGAAAATTAATTGAAATTATTTAAAATTCTGTCAGCCATACGTTAGGATTTAACAATTTTCAATCGGACCACTAAAGAAAATTTTAAAAAAAGGTAAAGTAACTGAAATATTGAATAAAAACTGATGTTACGGAATGGAGTTTTAACACTAGTTTTCATTCAATAATTCAGTTGTTTGCCATTTTTTTGAAACTTTCTTTAGTGATCCCATAAAAATTTGTTGAATTTTATCGTATGGCTGGGAGAATGTTTATTAATTGAAATTAATGTTATTATTTTTTAACAAAAACCTCGTCCAAAAATTGTGCACAAATAATTTGTTCTTTTTGAGAGAATCACCCATCTACATAGTTTATGAACGCTCCTTTATAAGTTATTACATACCAAGTAACCAAATATTAATCCATTTATAACAAATAATAACCAGTTTACACACCAAACATAATTTTTAAATTTGGATATTCTGAAATATTCGTTGCTGTAAGGGTATAATTAAAACAACTAACATGAAATAATTTAGACAAGAATATTAACAAAAACAAAACAAAAACAATTTGTAAGAACAGAAAATAAACAGAATGTGCAAAGGCTTATTCTGTTTATTTTTTTAATAATTGCCTTGATTTTGTACTATCCAATTGGTGGGAAAAATTCGACTCGTAATTCTTGACGAAATTAAATAAAAAAAAAAACAAATTTGGTCAATAGAAAATTTTTATTTTAACGAATTTTCGGTTAAATGAAGTTCTGTTTAAAAGAAACTTCCTTAAACAAAATTTAGTGAACCAAATAATCTACCACAAAAAACCAGTTAAATAGAAATTTAAATGAAAATTCTGCTAAATAATATAAATAATAATATTAATAAATATTGTATTGAACCAATTTTGTATTATGTATAAGAAATTTTTATTGTCATATTCTTGTTCCCTGATGTCTAAAATATAGAAATATTAATTTGTGGTAATTAAAAGTAACGTATATTTTTAAAATTTTGAGTTTAAGTAGAAATGCCATTTCGATGTTTTCAAAAGTCTGGGCCAGGCAATTCTTTTAAATGAATCGAATATTTCTATAGTGTTTTATTTTTTATATTTAAAACATTGCTCACTGCACGCTGTGAGTCGAAGCATAAATTAAAAAGGAAAAAAAAATGGTTAAATAAATTTTAAAGGAAATCATCTTATATTTTTCTCTTTTGTGGTCTGAAATAACTTTTAGTTTGAACTTAATTTCAATCCACCTTGTGTATATGTATATTTTTTGGGATAAAAATACACAGTACAAAAATAAATATCCATTTCGTGTTTTTAAAAACTTTAAATGATGTAAACTTTATTACTTCGCATTGCAAATATTTCAAAACTTTTATTTTCGTGAAGATTTTATTTACAAAAGACAACAACAGGATAATCGAACGGGGGAGAGATAATAAATTGTATAGAGATCATTGAGTATATCAGTCTGAAATACATGCATCATTTTTTTCCTGATTTTTTTATCCCACCAGTGACGAGAGGACCTTTTTGTGCAGCTTTCTTTGCAGCGTCTTGCATAGCCTTTTGTTGTTCCTTTTGTTTTTGTTTAAATGCTAAATCTTCTTCGTCAAGATCTTTAGTATCTTTTTTTGGTGCCTTCAAGGGCTTCTTTTTACCTCCTTCTCGACCAGACATTCTAGAAAAGATAATTTCATAATTTCAATGCCTTTCACGATAATTTTTTTTAAATTACATTAAAACATTTTTCCTGTACTTTAATTGTATTATTTTGTGATATTAAATTATAGTAGCAAATTTTAAGAATTTTTTACGCATATAGTGAGCAAAAAAAATCATAAAATTTCAATACTCTATAACTCAAAAAATATTTTATCAAATTCAATAATATTTCATATTTAGACTTCCACTAACCATGACAACATTTTGGCAAAGTTTGGCAATTGAAATTAAAATTTGACTTTGAAAATCAAGGTCAAAGTTTTCATTTGCATACAATTATGTATCTCAAAATCGAATTTTTTTTTCTTATTTTAAATTCTCTTGATGAAAATCTTGACTCATTTTTCATAAGATATGTAATTTTCAAAGAGGGATCTTTTCGATTCGACTATTTTTGTAAATTGTAATTTAAAAAGCAATGTATATTCAGAAAATAAAAATTTATCAAAATTATTTTTTTTAATTTAAATTCTGGAATTTATATTCAATGTTAATTTTAACATTTAAGGTTTTTTTCTCTCAAAAAGGGCAAATCAAAGCGTGCACGATTTTAGACTGTCTTTTTGTCAAAAAATAATAAAATTAATTTCAATTAATAAAAATCTGCAAGCTATACGATAAGATTTAACAATTTTCAATCGGATCACTAATAAAAATTTCAAAAAAAGGTCAAATAACTGAATTATTTAATAAAAAGTAGTGTTAAAACGCCCCTCTGTAACATCAGATTTTATTCAATATTTCAGTTATTTGGCCTTTTTTGAATTTTTTCTTAGTGATTCGATTAAAAATTGTTAAATCTTAACGTATGGCTAATAGAATTTTTAATAATTTCAATCAGTTTTATTATTTTTGAACAAATTACCGTGAAAGCGTGATTTGTCCTTTTTGAGAGAATCACCCCTTAAGTATAACATTTTATTTTAATTCAAATTCAATGCTATATTACTCTATTGTTGGGAATTATGTGACCTCTGCCTTTTTGATTACTATAAAACGATTTAATCTTAAAAAATATTAAAACTCTAATTTTTTTCTTTTTATTTTCTAAAAACTAATAAAATTCTGAAAGAAATGGCACCTTGACAAAGAGAATACGTTAATTTTTTAATTAGATATCTAAGAAAAACACAATTTTCAGTGTTTTTACTTTTTTTTTATTTCTCTGGCAAAAATGAATAATTTTTAACGTTCTTGCTCAGTGGAATAGTTTTTTGTTAAACATTTCAAATTGTTTAAAACAATTTATGTGCACGTTCTTCCTTAACGTTTACAAACCGTGAAATTTAGGTCAAAAAATGGTCAGTAAAATGTATAAATCTTAAATTAATCAGATAATTTTAAGATTATCTTTTTACTTAATTTTTAAATATTATATTTTGTTGTAGAATTACATTTTTTACCCAAATTTCAGGGCTTGCATACGCTAAGGAAGAACGTGCACACCATTTTATTTAAATCTAGAATAATGCAGTCCCTAACATAACCTCAAAACTGAAAAATGGTTTTAACGGAAATAAAAATTAATTTCAAAAAATTTTAGAAGATTTAGTTATACACTTTCCGGAAAAAATTATGTTGAGTTAAAATTCTGAAAGACAAAAGTTAAAATGTTAAAAAAATAATTATTTCACAAAAGATTTTAACTCAACATAATTTTCTCAAAAAAATGTACAGCTAAATCTTCTAAATATGTTTGAAATTAATTATTGTGTTAAAAACCATTTTTCAGCTTTGAGGTTATGTTACGGTCTCCATCTTCCTTATAATAAATCAATTGTTATACAGGAAGAATAATACCAATGTGTAACAAAATAGATTAAAATGGATGAAATTTGATTGTTACAAATTATAATTCAAATTGCTTTATATCATAAGTAATTTCATAAATCAGTGACAATTTTGGAATTATTTTTTAAGTAAACTTTAAACTAAAAAATATTTGTCAATGTAGTATTAAGTACGATTCTTATTTAAACTTTAATCGTACAGTTAAAAAAAAATGTATCCAATAATGTCAATAACTTAGAAAAAAAATGTAAATCACACAATTAACCTTACCTGCAATCCAAAAAATTCTTAGAAAATAAGTATTCCGAAAAAAGGTCTGTTCCACTTTTACTATGAAATAACTTTAAGAAATAATTTTATGCTTTTTGAACAATGTATAACATTCGGAAAGCCGCAAATAGTGAAATGTTTACATGAAAGATTTTTTTACAGCATGAAAAAGGCGGTGAAGAGCAGAGATGGGTTGTGACTCATAGTTTAAGAAACGCAACTTCAGGCGGTGTTCACAGGCCTGCGTTTTAACGCTTGCGTTAAAACCTTAAGGTGCTTTTATACCTCCAGTATTTTGGTCAAGTAATCGACTGGATTGAATTTTCACGGTTGTGTCACTGATTTTGATTGGCCCCTAACAAATATTCCATTTACACAGTGAAAATTGAATATTGTTAGAGCCAATCAAATTCAGTGATTCATCGTGAAAATTCAATGCAGTCAATTGCTTGACCAAAATACTGGAGGTATAAAAGCACCTTTAGAAAGATTAAAATTTTTTTTAAAGGCGCTTGTACACCTCACAAATTCTAAGTATCCTCGGAATTTGTCAGAAGTTTCACTAACTTTGATTGGCATTGCTCATAGAGAATTTCGAAATTTTCCTATCTTTTGGAAATTCTCCATGAGCAAGGCCAATCAAAGTTAGTGAAACTTCTGACAAATTCCCAGGATACTTAGAATTTGTGAGGTGTACAAGCGCCTTAAAGAAGTAAAGTGAAGATAAAGGTGCTTTTATACCTCTAATTTCGATCAGAAGAACATTTTTTCTGGACCGTAAAAATGCATGTCACTGAATGTGATTGGCTCTACAAAAATTCAATTTTCACGTAGTTTTTTGTAGAGCCAATCACATTCACTGACTTGCATTTTCACGGTCCAGAAAAAATGTTCATCTGATCGAAATTAAGAGGTATAAAAGCACCTTAAGGTAATAGTATAACATTTTAGTCAACAAAAACTAAGTGAATTATTTAAAATATATTTATACTGATCGAATTGTGAAATCACCTTTAATCGTCGTTAGGTATTGTGGGCAGACCTTTAATCAGTTTAAAGGTACTTTTATACCTCTAGTATTTTTTCAAGCAATCATCTGGATTGAATTTTCACGGAAAATCACTAAATTTGATTGGCTCTAATAATATTTAATTTTCACGGTGGAATTAGAATAGTTGACAGAGCCAATCAAATTCAGTGATACAACGTTGAAAATTCAATCCGACTGATTGCTTGACTAAAATATTGCAGGTATAAAAGCACCTTTAAATTCTGCGCGTGTTACACAATGGGTATTTTCGGGAATTACTGACAATAAAAAATTATCCAATCAGGATAAACATACTGATGTATCAGCCAATCACAGCATACTAACAGTATGCTAACAACAACTTCCGAAAAACTACACTCAATCTAGGCTATTGTAAATTTACCTTTATATTATTTTTCCATGGACCTTGGCGGCGTCGTATTAACTTGTGAATATGTCTTAATTGAAATAAAAAATTCTTTCAATCTTTTCGTGAGCAGGGAAAACTGCGTACGGTATGTTGATTTTATTAGTTTTATAAATCCATTAACATCTTGAAAAGTAATTGTCTATTATTCCAAATTTTTATCAGATATTTAAAGTTGTTTGCAATTTTATGTTTATGCATATAGATTTTTTTTCATAAAATAGTAAAACATGCTTTATTTATTGTTGTTTTGAGGTTACGTCAAAGTTTATTTTCAAATTTGACTTTTAGTGAATTTGTTAAATTTATTTGTTAAGTGAAATATAAATTTATCATTTGTATTTTAGTTGCAAAGTGTAAAATAAAGTTTTTATTTTTTTTTGGTTTGTAAATTAAATTTTATTCCGGTTATTGGTTAATTCGTTTATGATAGCTGTAAGTTTCACCACAATGGGGAAACAATTTTAACATTCTTGAATTTACTTAAGAAATTTGAAAAATATTGAAGATTTCGAATCTCAAAACATGAAAATAGAATACGTTCTCTGCAATTTATTTTAAATATTTATCGTATTTGTTATTTAATTTTTTTCGATTCTGGTGAACTGTAAAATTTTCTTTTCTTATTTTATATGGTGCATTTATTGTTTTTTGTGAATATATATATATTTATTTTTAAGTGTAGTTTGTGCCTTTGAAGAGTCACGACTTAAAAAAAGTTTTTTGTTTTTAGCGATTCATCAAAATGGTGAAAATTATGAAAAGTGGGAAGGTGGTACTCGTCCTGAGTGGACGATACGCAGGACGAAAAGCCATCGTCATGAGAAATTTTGATGAAGGAACATCGGAAAAACAATACGGTCACGCAATGGTGGCTGGTATTGACCGATATCCCAGAAAAGTACATAAACGTATGGGAAAGGGCAAACTTCATAAACGCTCCAAGATTAAGCCATTTGTTAAGGTAAATATTATAATTTATTACAAGTTTAAATTTCCGAAGTAATAGAACCCCTAATGAAAATAATATCAGGAATCACAAACCTCGGATTGTACCATTGCCAAATTGAAGTATGAATTTTTTTGTGTTCATTTCATAAAAACTTTGCTTTCTCATAGAGATTTCTTTTAATCAATTTATGGTAATTTATTTAATATTATAATAATTTTAAAAAGGTATTAAGTTGTAGTTGCTTAGCATTTACAGAGATAGATTTTTAACATCAATAAATTCGTAATATTTTATAATAAAAAAGGTTCAATAATTCGTTTTTAAATATTCTCTATGTTGGTTATGATCATTTTAAAGTTACTCAAAGATTTGTAAACAAATAATGCAAAAAAGTCAAGTTTTTCAAAATTTTTCAATTTTAAAATTGGATAAAATAATAGAATACTTTTTAATGGATCAAAAATGCATCTTAAACTCCAAAAAAACTAAAGTTAAATATCTATAGGTATCAATACATTTTTTTAATTTATGGACAAAAAATGTTTTTTTTAATTTTTAAAAATTCAATAACTTTAGATAGAATAACAGTAGAATTTTTGCTAATAACTCAAAAGATGTGTTTAGAAAAACTACAAAATTTAAAAAAACATCTATAGGCAGGCCTCGGATTATACGTATTTTTTTACTTTTTTCAAATCTTTATTTCAATTTTTTAATAAATTTTTAACTAAAATTCTTCACTAAATTTATTATTTTTTATGATTTTTATAATATTCTTCGAAAATTCAATTATCTGAAATAATTTTTCAATTAAAATCTTTTGGAATTCAATTTTCGTACGTGATTCCTAATAAATTCTTCATCAACAGAAATCACTAAAAATTTATCTTATTAATTATTGTCTGAAATTTAACACAATCTTTTGAAATTCAATTATTTTCAAAAATTTCAATTTAAAAGCTTGTAAAATTTTCCATTAAAATTTTTTTTTGAAATTTAATCATTTCAATTATAACTCTCCTGAAATTGAATAAATTTTAATGACTTTTACAATATTCTTCGAAAATTCAACTATCTAAAACCATTTTTCACGCAAAAAGTTTTCAAATTATTGTATTTTTGTCTACAATCTTCAATTTCTAATAAATTTGTTAGTAACAGAAATCATTAAAAATTTTAATTAAAAATTACTTGAAGTTTAATTAATTTCAAAAATCAAAATTGTTAATCTTTGAAAATTCAATTACTTTTAAAAAATGTTATCTAAAATTATTTGATAAATTATTTTTAGTTCTGTAAAATTTAATTATTGTCTGAAAATTAACAAAATCTTTTGAAATTTATTAATTACTAAAAATCTTAAATATGTAACTTCCAAAACTCCATTATGTTTAAAATTATCTTGAATTCTTCGCCAAATTAATAATTTTCAATATGAATTTTTAATTTAATCACTTGGTATTATTAATTATTTCAATGATTAGATCGATATATCCGAGTCAGAGTTGGTAGAGTAACGTTATAAAAAAACACATTTTTTAACTTTTTGACTGACAAATTCTGTCCTCATAAAAACTGTAAAAATTATGAGCCAAAAGTTTTGAACGTTCAAATAAAACGAAATTTTGTTTGCAACTTCTTTAAGTACGAATTTTATTACAAAATATTGTTTTAAATATCTAAAAAGAAATTATTAATTTAATAATTTTTTAATTTACTGTTTTATTTTACATTGTCATTATAATTTTTAACAATTTAAAGATTGAAAAAAAAATTTCGTTTATTTGAACATTCTGAACTTTTGGCTCATTAAAAATGTATTTTACACTGTTAGAAAAAAGTAATGGAAGAATCACATTTAACACAGTTACAAATTAAAATTGATTAAGTGTTACCTTAAAAATTAATTTAAGTAATGACAATTTATGTTTAAAATGTCAAAAATAAATAATTTTGCACATAATTAAATACGAGAGTCAATGAAATGCAAGTAAATGCAGTGCCGACAATGTAAATATTAATTGATTAAAGTATGTGAAGATGAGAAGGTTGAATCTTAAAAGATAATTTGAAAATAAACAATAACTAATTTTTTATTTTACTAATTTCTTATGTTGTCTAATAGTTGCTTGTATTTATAATTTTAATCGATTTTAATTTTAATATTTTCCTTCTTATTGTTCGTTTGCCTTTTTTATAACAGTGGTAAATAAATTATTGTAGTTCTGACAAGGACAGTACTGTAAATACACCTCTTAAAGGTGAGCTGAGGTTAAAATACTGTCGTCGTACTTCATTTTAAATCTTTAAATTAATCTCAAACATCATCTGTTTTCATTTGCCCCTTCAGGGTTTCTACAAATCATGGAAATGTCATGAAATTTCATTTTGGATCATGGAAATCTCATGGAATTCCTGATCATATCATCGAATTTTTTCAATTTTCGTATCTAAGACTCGAATTTACACGTTCGTTGAAAATGACCCATTTTCAGTATTTTAATTCGTTATAATTAATGTTTATAGTGGGTTTTAAAGTATTATGGAAATTTTATCATTTATTACCTGGAAATCATGGAATTTCGCGAAGAGAAATTTGTAGAAACCCTGCTCTTGTTTACATTTACCCCAAATGACCTTAAGCGTTCTTAATATCATCAAACAATTAATGATTTTTAATGTTAATATTATATTGTCGACTTTAATAGTCCTAAATGAATTTATGTATTAAGTATAAATATATTTTACAGATTTTAAATTATAACCATTTGATGCCAACGCGTTACACAGTGGATTTGCAGCTCGACAAAGTAGCACCTAAGGATTTAAAAGATCCAATGAAGAGGAAGAAGGTGCGATTCCAAACTCGTGTTAAATTCGAAGAAAGGTTTGTGTTTCCTTTTTTACAAAATATTTTAATTCCATTATCTTATATATAATTATATAATATAATTTTCTATATATCAATGTAAATTAATTTTAACGGTTATTTATTATGTTCAAAAACTGTTTGTTCATTAAATAGATTCAAGTATATTCCATAAATTGACCTTCAAAAACTTGTAAATCTGAAATTTTCTTATTTCATCTCAAAAAATGAACTTTAGTTACAGTCCCAAAATGAAAATCATAAAATCAAATAAAAGATTTGTTGCAAGCTTCGTAAGAAAAATGAATTCGGCTGAAATTTCAAATTAGACCTTCCATATTTAATTTTATATTGGAAAATAATCTTTTAAATAAATTCTAATTAAAATATTTAATTTCTAGTATGCAAAACATTTTAAACACTTGAGTCAACATATTTTTGAACTCTATTAAATTAAAGAAACAATAATTTTTAGTTTTAAAAAATTTAAAAAAATAATATCTACAAAACATATTTCTGTTACAGGTACAAATCTGGAAAGAACAAGTGGTTTTTCCAAAAGCTGAGGTTCTAATTTGTAATAAATAAACAATTTTATCGAGTTATTGGAAATATTTTCTATCCTTAATTTTTTTTTTATTAAGCGTTTAATAAAAATCCTCTGCCAAATTAAAAAAGGAAATTTTTTTGTTCATTTCATGAACACTTGATTTCCTCACAGATATTTATTTATTTATTTTAAATTTTTCGCGAAATTTTTATATTATTCAAAAGATGCTACTGAAAAAAAATTTTTTATATTTATGAAGAAAAGTGCAAAGAATATTTAGAATTTAATTGTAATGACTTTATATTCGGTAAGTTTTTCTTTTTGTTTAATTTAATGATTACCCTTTCTCATAATTAATCAATAGAAATCGCAAAATTATGTTATTTGATAGATGAACTTAAAAATCATATTTTATCTATTATTTCATATCTTTAAATACTTAAATCTATTTATAGTGTTTAATTTAGACACTCAGAATAAATTGCAATAATACATTTACACTTATATAGTAAATTATATGTTTTCTCGAATATTTATTTATTTCGGAGTACCAAATTTTTTAGTTAATAGACATGAAAGATTTAATAAAATTTTTTGGTAGAGTGTATAATTGATTTAATTGATTTCTCAGTGTACAATTGATAATTAGAATACCTTCGCAAAATGCAAACAGAGAATCTATTTGGCGTTGACCTGTAGAGTAGGGCTTATCTCGTTTTTCGAGACAATACTGAGACGATACTATAAAAAAATTTTCGATATAAGACCGAGACGATACTATGATAAAAACAAATCTCGTCGAGACTTTTGTTCAAAAATCTAACGGAACTATATCCAACATTACCGCTAACCGTAATTATTCAAGATATAATGTTTATGTACTTTAAATGACAGATTGGAAAAAACAAAAGTTAACGAAATTTTAATAACAGCTTTCGAAGCAGCTCGAGAAAAAATTGTCATACACTACCAAAAAAACAAATTGGGTTTACTGTGCTGCTTTAGTTATAGATCCTCGGCACAAAGTAGAAATTTTCGTTTCTACAAAGTGGGGCAGGGAATTTGAAAGAAGTTTCAATTAAATTTTTTAAGGAAATTTATAAAAATAATTATTGTAATATTATTTCTGAAAAAGTAACAAAATGGACGATGCACGAAATACAAAAAAAATTCAAATTCTTTTTGAATGCAAAACTATCAATCTGAATTCTATTTGGAGCCAAAAAGAGCAGATAAAAATCAGAACATTTTAGAATGGTGGAAAGGAAAAGACTAATAAATAAACATTTATATTCTGTACATACAATGTTTTATTTTATCAATGTTTTTAAGGTTTAGACTAGACGAGACCAGTAAATTTTCATTTTTTCGAGACTCACTAAAGTCTTGTCTCATCTTATCTCGCCCTACTGTAGAGTGCAAAGGGAAATGTGTAACCCAAAATGACATACATAGGACATCGGACACGGCTCGCAATTCAAGGCAATTCAGTTGAATGAGAATTGTGCTAAATTAAAATTATTTTAAATAAAAAGTTAGATAAAGAGTATGAAATAAAAATTCACTTAAGTAAAAATTTGTTTAAAAATAAATTCTGTTAAATGCTAATTCAAAAAGTAAAAAATTCGAATCGAAATGAAATAAATTGTATTGGAACTAATAATTTCTGTATTTGAAACAAATTCTACTAAGTAGAAATTCGAATATTTTTAAGATGAATAAGATAATTAGGGTTAAATAAATATTTGGTCAAATAAAGATTAGGGGAGGAGGGATTTCATATTTCTTAACGGTAATATATAGTATTCAAATTAAATGAATATAGGCAGAAATATAGCATGTAAATCACTATATTTTTACTTTGAAAAATTAACTACAGTACAGTATATCTAAAAACTTTTTAAAATAAATATTTAAATAAAAAAATTTTATTTTACTTATTTTAAAAAGGAAATAAAATGTCGATCTTTGTCCTTCCGATCGACTTCACCAGTCCATTTTATTATTATAGGTACTGACTTACGATAATCGTTTTTTTTTCCTATCATTGCCTTTGAATAAATGCAATTTTATCTGCAAACACAAAAATTTTAAATTTAAAATACTTGAAAGACGAACTTTAGACATCGACTCACTGCATAAATTTTATGATATGCCTATTTTAATACACAATTCTGAAAGATAAAAATTATTTGAACTTGACTCTTTTTTTCTTTTACTAAGTTTACTACTTTTCACTTTTAACTATTATTTCCTATTTTTATTAATTTTTCATATTGATCATTGAAAAATTAAAAAAAAGAAACCTATTAATTTAAAAAACGAAAAAATGGTATTTTTTAAATAGACTAATAATAAGAATATGTTAATGGCATTAATGAGAAAAAGAGCTGAAAACATCAAAGAGTCAATTGTTTTAGGTATAATAAATAAAAGTCATTATTCTGTAAATTAACGTCAGACTATATTTTTTACCTGAGCTTTTATATCCACGCAATATATTAATAATAATAAGTATTGTGACTTTTCTGTAAATAGTTAACAAGGTATTTTCTCTTTATTTGCATTCTGCTCATTGGTTCACCATTAGGCGTCATTGAGACTTCATAGAAACGAGCTTACGAGAACGAGCTCTTGTCTCTGTGCGTATATTTGTATATTCAAACCATAAAACGTTTGGAATAAGAGATGTGTCTCTCAATAGAAGATACTCTGATGCTCTCCTGAAACAAATTATCAAAACTACATGTAAATATTAATTTATAAAATTAAAGTCGAAAATTGTCAAATTATTATTCTTTTTTTAAGGCACTATTCCGAAATTTTAGTTTTTTTCGGGAATTTTTTTTTTTTTCAAAGAAAATAAAATACAACTCTATTGCTCTTTTTACACATTATAATTGGTATCCTAAAGTATACAAAAAAATGTTTAACAGAAAAAAAGTGTTTTTTTATTTTATTTATTTTTTTTTAAACTAAAATTATTTTCTTTCCATTTCCAATAGAAGCTGATGTAACTTTGAAAAAATGACGTAAAAGAGTAGTTGTTATGTTAATTTTTCTATTAGATATTCAAAAGTTTCATTTTAAATGAATTCTTTGAAATTTGAAAGTTTAAAAAAAAAAATTTTTTTAAATCATAGATTTGTCACTGATACTTTTTTCTTCATTAAATAAATAAAACTTACCATGAAACGATCACAGGAAAGAAAGGAGTTAGAACCAAATGTGTGATTAAAAACCAAATGATTCCCAATGCACTTCCCAAAATCATTCCACATAGCACTTGAGCTTTTGAATGATATTGTAGATAAATTCTACTATAGGCTACAAATACAGCTACAATAATGGAAAGAACTATAGTCAGCATACGCCAAAATTTCTCTGAGATTGTACTATTATTGTTATGATGTAATCTGTAATAACACATATTTTATTTACATTACAAGAATCGTTTTTTTTTCTTTTTTAAACTGATTCTTTAATATATCCCACAGTGGTCCTCCAGCAGAGGCAGATTTTATTAAATTAGATACTAAGAAAATTGAATGTAGAAAAGTTCTGGGATTGATTTAATAAATTGCTGTTTAATATGAAAGTAAAAAACCCCTGAAATATTGAAAAAAATTTGTAGAAAGCAGATATAAAAGTAAGACAACCCTGGAGAAATTAACGATATCGGTGTATTTTGTATCTGAATTGAACTTGGGGAAATATTTTTTAGTCAACTTTTAATCTAAAAAATGATATCGATATTTTTTTCAGATTAATTTTTATATTTACCTGATTAATACGAAAAGTACCATGTATGCTGTGAAAAAACATATAAATTGGGAATGAGACGATGGCATTCCATATTCGGAGTAAAGAACTTCACGTCTCATAGGTCTAGCTTCGCAAATAGTGTGTTTTAACAAAAAATTAACAACTTCATTTATGACCATACCAATAAAAAATACAATCTGAAAATTTTAAATTGTTATTGATGTACCTTTTTTAGTCATATAATGTAAATATCATTATTTATATATTATACCTGCACTGAAAAAAAATTTATTTGTTTCAAATAATCGATTACTTGACTATTATCAAATAAATATTTACTTGAACCAAATATTTTTTATTTGAATTAAATTAAAATTAATTAAACAAATAATTTAAGTAATTGACACAACTAATAATTATTAAATACAAATAAATATTTATTTAATAATAGTCAAATAACCGATTATTTGAATCAAATACATTTTTTCAGTGTAACGTATGTTTTTTTTTAAATTAAAAAATTATCTTCATATGTAACTTACTGTATGAAGATCTCGTCTAAAAATGATCAGTGTGATAAAACCCGTCAATACGGCAAAGGGCATTAAACTAATAAGAGCTAAAAATTTTCCAAATCCATCACCTGAAATATAAAAAATCATATACAATAAACCAGTGTATTTGAAGTAATTTTTTTTCAACTTCCTTGAATCTTGTTTTGTTTTTGCAAAATTTAAATACTGGGTTCTGAAAGAGGATGAAAAAAATAATAAGGAAGGGTACTTGTAAAATTTTTGCCATACGTAAGAACAGAGAACGGTTATCTTAAAATTACAGTAAAAAATCTGGGGGCGCATGATTATTATTTTAAGAATTCTAATTTAATTGAATTTTAAATGCTAGAATTTCCAATTCACTGAATCCAATTCGTTCGAATTTTTATTTGTACGATTTGTATGATAGAATTCATAAAATACCGAATTTTCATTTATCCGAAATTGCAAATTGCCAACCAAATAATAATTGTCGCTGTTTTTAAAATTTACCAATAACTATTTTCTTAATAATTTCTGATTAATCAATTTTAAAAATCGCGTCAAATTCTTTTTGTTGATTGAATATTCGTCCATTGGTAATTTCGGACAAATGGAGATTAGTCGTTTTAAGAATTATATCAAATAAGAATTCGTGAAAATGAACAAATGAAGATCTGGTGAATTGAAAATTTTTTACATTTAAAAGTTCCTATCACTCGAGGGGGAATTTACTCTGGTAGTTGGTAGTCAAGTGTACATTCTCCTTGTAATACTTATTGTTAGTAATACATACTATGCGTAATATGTAATACAATGTTTTAAAAAATTTTTTTTCATAACCTGAAACCATATTCCACTATAAAAAAATTAAAAAACATAATTTTTGACTATTTTAGAATATTTAAAATTTTTGTATTTTTCAAAAAATTAAAACTTTTCAAAATTCTTAAGATTGAATGTGTCTAAAGTTCTGAACGTTCAAATGAACGAAATATTTATTTACCTACTTTTTAACTTCTTTTATTATAAAATATTGATTTCTATATTGAAAAATAAATTAATAATTTATTAAATGTTTAATGTACTTTTTTATTTTTCACTGCTGTAGTAATTTTAAAAATATTTATAGACCCAAAAAATAATTTCGTTCATTTGAACGTTCAGAGCTTTAGGCAAATAAAATTCATGTCAAAATCATTAAAATTTCAGCAATATTGCCATTATTTCTGCAATACTGCTGCAATATTAGAATATTGAGGCAATGTTGCGAATATTGTTTCAATTTAAGTGCTATGTGGGTATTTTTCAGTTATTTCTTACTATTAATTAGTTATTTTTAACTTATTTCAAACTATTTTTGAAATTTATTTTAAAAAATTAAATACTATTATTATTAGAGAAAAACTATTATCAAGACGAATTTTTATTTAACAGAATTCTGTATTTTAACCACTTTCAATTAATTGAATTTTTAAATGTTCAAATTATTGTCTTTGAAATTTATTCACCCAAATTTTCATATGACAAATTTTTAATAAATCCAAATTATTCTTTTCTTAGTGAATCAATAAATTCTCTTTTGAAATAGTTTATCTTTAATGAACAATTTCTTTTTTATAGAACAAAATTCACTTAAAAAACGCTCTTTTTTTTGCGCTCTAAAATGAAATTTTCTAGGGTCTTTAGGATATTTGAAATATAAAATTTAAAAAAAATTTTTAAGACCCACAATTTAATAGAGCCGATTAAAATTAATTTTTCAGTACGCTACATTATCTGAAAGTACTTAATATAAATTAATATTTATGTAATTTAAAAATATTTACAAACTTTCTAGAAAAATAACGAATAAGTTGCTGAATTTTTACATTTCACAGATAAGTTTAAAAACCAATTTTCAAATTTTACGAATAAAATTTATTTTTGACTATTTTTATACCAAGGTAAATATAAAAAAAATTATTTTTTACACAGAAACAGAATTTTTTTTGCAATAAACCGCAACAACTTTGAGTGAAATTCAATCGAGTAACACTTTTTAAAATTTATTTTACTATAATTATCGGATGTTTTTAAATTATGTAATTTACAATAATGTTTGATTAATAAAAATAAAAAACAAAATTTTAAGTTGTCAATAAAACTCATAACAATAAGACCAATTTTTATCAGAAGTTTCCATTGTTTTTTTCAGTCAACAAAAATTGTTAGAAATGTTTATATATAGTAGAAGTTTTCAATTTTCTAGATTTTGGTTACTTTGCGAACACCATGTGAAACTTACCTTGAGGATACTCGACATGTGTCAATGAAAGTGGAATCCAGTCTGAACTGTCGTTTAAACCTCCAAATTGTGATTTAATATCGAGAAAAGATACGTTTTCTAGTGTTGCCATTTTGAGTAATATCACCGATGCCGCGTGTACGGTGACATGAATGAATTATGTTTTTTACTTTTTTTTTAATTATCAAAATTTCTTAAATACAGAATGTTTATATATAAATAAAATATTTAATACAGAAACACTTTTTTTCGAAATAATAATGATTAAAATTAAGTATAAACTCTAGTACAAAAACAAAAATAAAAACAATCAAGAGATTTTCACACTTCAGCTGTTTAAACTTTTTTTTTAAAATATCAAACGTCAATAAAACTTAGAATTTGTAGAAAAACATCATCTTCTATTTTGAACACGAAAGTAACACACAAATAGATTGTAACAACAATTTTATACAAGTAAAGATCTCTCTCCTTCCATCGAATCTGAACCAATAGCAATAGCGAATTAGGAAAACCTGTTTGACTGAGAGAGAGGGCACATCATTGTAAACTCATAGCCAGATATGCCTACACTTTGTGTCCTTTTCAAACACACGTGTTGTCATGGCAACACGTGTGTTAGAAAAGGACAGAAAAGAGTAGAGTATGTAGATGTACATACCTGCTTTTTTCTTTAGTGAGTAAAGGCGATTCTCTAATACCAAACTATCGGAAAACGACCAATTTAATTTAAAGTGAGAGACAGTGTTGTAGAACGATGACTATGTTAAACGAATGTTTGAACGACGATATACAGTGAGAGTCACGAATCAATTTGCGAACTTCTGAATAAAAGAGATAAGTTGAACGAGGACTATTGTCCATAGGAGTCATACTATTGGTAAGCCCAAGAAGATAAGGCAGAATAGGTGCAAAAGCCAAGTAAAAGTGCAAGTCCAAATTCCATTAGTGAAAAGATATATGTAGTCTATCTATCTCTTTTACACTCATGGGATTTGCACTTGGGCTTGCACTTGTGCTTTTGCACCTATTCTGAAACCGCCTAGGCCGTTTACGAATTGGGATTTTTGTCGCACTTTTGATAAAGTGTGACATGTCTCGAAGAAAGGGGTCTTAGAAGCAAAAAATTATAGGTTATATTTTGAAACCAGCCCTGAACGCAAGTATGAATTGAATGATTGGGCTGTTTCCGAATTGGGATTTTTAGCGCACTTTTGGTAAAGTGTATGCTAAATGTGTTGCGTACCTGACGCGTTGGTTCGCAAGCGCAGTGACGTCATCAAAGCATTGACACCAATCGCGAACAAAAAGTTTGGTTGATGATTTTAAGACACTGAATTTTTTAATTATAAATATTAAATAATTAAAATTATTAAAAACCGTCGAGAAACATTTGCATTAAAAATTGTGAAGTTGAAAAACAGGGATAAGAGAAACATAAACAAAACTTTTTGTTTGCGATTGGTATCTATGCTTTGATGACGTCACTGCGCTTGCGAACCAATGCGTCAGTCACGCAACGCAAACATTTAGGAACCTATTGGAGAAAGGCCTTTAACAAAGAGTAAATGTTTACAACAACTTGCTTAAGGCCAGGTTCAAGTCGTGTCAGCTGTTCCATTGAAACTTCAAAGGAACAGCTGACTCGACTTGGACCTGGCCTTAAGCTTTTGCTTTGCATTTGACTTGGGCCGTTTCTGAATTGGGATTTTTAATGCATTTTTGATAAAGTGTATACTCGGGAAGTATGCATTGTCCTTGTTTTTCCATGCGAAAAAAAGGATACTGCATACTTCCCAAGTATACACTTTATCAAAAGTGCGCTAAAAATCCCAATTCAGAAACGGGCTTGCTTTGTTAAGTCAAAACGGTGCGCGCAACTGTTTCCAGCTGTCGAAAATAAATAATTAATTAATTAGAGGCCTAAGCAGAATAGATTCTTGAACGGAAACGCAATCGTAAACGGAAACGTAAGAATGAGTAACTGACGGATAGCAAATTTTTTTATTCTTTTCTCACTCATTCTTACGTTTCCGTTCCCGTCCAAGAATCTATTCTGCTTTGGCCATAAGGTGCTTTTATACCTCCAGTATTTTGGTCAAGCAATCGGCTGAATTGAATTTTCACGGAGAATCACTGAATTTGATTGGCTCTAAAAATATTCAATTTTCACGGTGGAAACGGAATATTATTCAGAGCCAATCAAATTCAGTGATACAACCGTGAAATTTCAATCCAGCCGATTGCTTTACCAAAATACTGGAGGTATAAAAGCACCTTTAGGGAATAGTTGCCCTATGTTGTCACTGTGGGTTAAGTTGGTGGTGTTACAGTTTGACAGACACAAAGATAATTTATGCACATCATTGTTATTTATATTTGATCCTCTGATTGTGATCAAATTTATAAATTTTTGTCGCATATTAAACTTCATTTTTCCCTTTTGCTCAGCAGCAGCTGCAGGTAAGTGATTTTTTTTAATTCCAAATAAGTGAGTGTTCTGTATTCTTTATTTAATGTTGTAACTGATAGGTTATGTTAGTGGTTTATTTTAATGATGACACAGTTATTATTTTTAAAAGTAATTGTTTCTATTAATTAAATCATGATACAAAAGACCTGGACAAAACGGACGTACGTCCCCTCGATAACGTGCCTAAACGCACCTCATGTTATTCTTTTAGCTATTGACCCAAACTCACGAACAACCAAAAACTAGTGACTCTCATTCAAGCAGTATCAGCTGTCGGAATACGTGCTCCGTCATTTTTCGTCTTTCCTCGAGCCCGCTTTTATAAACATTTTCTGAATGGAGGTCCTGTTGGTTGCGTCGGTGATGCAAATCCATCTGGTTGGAGCAATGCTGGGCTTTTTTTTGAATTTTTAAAAACATTTCAAAAGTTTACAAAATGCACTGTTGAGAATCCTATTCTCCTTTTTCTTGATAATCATGAGTCCCATCGCGCACTGTCAGTTCTCGAATACAGTCGGGCTAATGGGATTCGTTTATGCGTATGAACCCTGGTCGCGTGGTTCAGATTTTTGATATTCCTTCCTTAGTAGCTCGAGCCCTAGATGTTGGTGCCACTTAAGTGAATATTAAATCAGGTTTCAGAGCAACGGGTATTTGGCTAATCGATTCTGATATTTTTCAAGATATCGACTATCTGCCCAGTTCAACGACAGATCGACCTAACCCAGAAAGTAATAACAGTTCAAGCGTCGCGATGGCAGACGTGGTTGAGGCAGAAGAAAAGGTACGGTCACACGACTTTTGGAAAAACCATTCATGTCTTTCTCTCTCCTAAGACAGAGGCATAAGATTGTCTCACTCTGCATTTTCTTACATTTCCCAAAGACGGAAAATGCAGAGTGAGACAAACTTATGCGTCTGTAATAGGAGAGAGAAAGACAAGAATGGTTTTTCCAAAAGTCGTGTGACCGTACCCTTAACGTCGAAGCGATTATGGCAAACGATAGCATAAAAGCATCGATTGATGCAGTTTCAATAATTGATTCGAATAAGACCATCAATGTGCCTATGCAGTCTTTATCTTCAACGTTTCTAAATCACACTTTAGAAAATCTGTCACCATTTCCGAAGGCGCCATCTCGTAAAACGACGAGGCCAAAAACCAGGCAAAACGACGATTTTAACATGTGATGTCGAAGTCAGTCGTATTGCTACAGAAGAGAAGAATCGTGAACGTAGCGCAAAAGACAAAAAACCACGAGGAAGACCGCGAAAGACCAAACAGTACTTGAAAAACGGAGGAAAATCATGAAGAAGACGCAGCACAAAGAACCCCAATCACCGCAGCCTTCTACAACCCTGTTGGCAAAAAACCATGTTCGTTCCAAAAACGTTTTAAGAACGTTTCATGTCCACCAAATAATGTTCTGGAACATTATTTGAACATCCATGTTCTTAAAATGTTCCAGAACATTATTTGGCGGACATGAAACGTTCTAAGAACGTCCTTAAAACGTTTTTAGAACGAACATGGTTTTTTGCCCACAGGGAAGTGAATTCCATCTACGTTCTCGTTCACAACAAAATTTAGTACGCCCTACGTACTACGAATCTGACAAAAATTGATTATTCCTCTTTCAGTTTCTTTAGTTTAATTTTTAATATTATCATTAGAAAGAGTTTTTTATGTTTACATATTTAATATTGTTAAAAAAATGTCTTATTTTATAAACGAAAATAGAAAAATATATTCTTCGACATGTTTTAAACTTGTCCAAATTTTGCTTAAATCCAAATTATATGCACTTTTTTCCTATATTGAAGTAAAAAAGTGGGGGGCCGACTTAGGACCACTATTTTCAGAAATGGCCAAAATGCACCATTTCACTCTGCAATGCATTAAGACTCTAAAAGCCATTCTATATCGTTTTAAATCGCATATAATTTTCGGAAAACGATCGCTGAACACATCTATACACTCGTCAGCGTCATTAAATTCGATTTTATTACTATTTTCGGCCAAATAGCTTACTCGGCCGACTTAGGACCACTCTCCCCTACTAATTAAATTTAATTAATAAAAACGAATTAATTAGTTATTTGTTTATTTTTGGAAACTGGAAACTGTTTTGACTTAACAAAGCAAGTCAAATGCTAAGCAAAAGCTTTTAAGCAAGTTGTTGTGGAACCTCCTTAATATGCCTATCCTTTTCTAACTCATACTTGCGTCTCCGTTCGCGTTCTCTACTCTCTTGCGATCACCTTGCAATTCTATGCTGCTTGGCCTTTAGTCATGTTGAAGTTATTGAGTTGAACTCACCTTTATCCTCCTATGGTTTACTGGTTTGAGTGTTTCGTTCATGATTCATTATATATAATCATAACATTAACTGACATTAACCAATACTAACAACAAGAGTAGAACCAGAATCAGTTATATATGGTTTGACAAGAGCTTCATATTTTCTATCAGTATCAATCAAACTGTTGATATGGAACATTGAATATTTTTGATATGAGAAAAGGATGATTTAGTTTTTCAGTATTTGCTATACATAACACAATAAAGTTTTTAATGAAACCATTTTGTGCGTGTTATTAAAAATTTTTGATTCTAAAGTTTAAGTAGTTAATGTGAAAATTAACAATATGAGGCTTACGAGAAGATGTTTAGGAAACCTTGGGACCATGACGAAGATGTTGGACTTTTATTCTCAATTCAACCCTTCTCCACTTTCCATAAAACAATTCATTGATTTTGGTGAATATAGAAATCAATTGATTTATTATTAATACTTTTTTTTGACGAATTCAATGTTTTACGTGATCATTTTCTAATCTTATGATCTGACTGTATTTATTTCCTGTATTTATGTGTATATATATATATTTTTTTTGCTATCATCACTAGATTGATAATATGTCAGATCAAGTCGCGATGAAATTTTATTGCGTAAAAGTGGATGAAGTTCAATCATAATAAATTATGTTTTCAAATTTTTTTGTGATATATGTATTTCTCAATTAAATAAAAATCAATGAGCGGTAAACGTAGTAGTATAATTTATTGTTTCTCTTTTTTTAACCCATTAACGCCTGAATTTACTGTATTTTTGGTCTGACTTCAAACTCTGATATTTGTTTAAAAATTGTAGTATTTTTTTCGGAAACGACTTTTTTATGCATTAAAGTGTCCTTTACATAAATGTGATGTCAAAAAATTGTTTTATACAATATTTTTTTTTACATATAATGCACTCGATTGCTTCAAAACACAATGATTTTTTTCAAAATGGCACCTAAAAACTCAAAATATTATGAAATTTTTTAATTTATGTCATGATGTACCACTTTCTTATAAATTTGACTTAAGATTATTTACTGGAGGATTTTAGAGTCACTGAATGCAAATCTACGGTTGGGGTACACTTTTTTTAAAAAATAATTTCTAAATTTTTTTTTCTAACAAAGTTTAATTTCTAAAATTTTTTTTTCTAACAAATTTCTAATTTGTTTTTTTTTCTAACAAAATGTACTAAAATATATAATAACAGAAAATGATATGCTCAGTTCAGCTTAAAATGAAATATAAATCGTTTTTTGTTATTCGCTAGCAACATAAATTTTTAATAAGAGTGACTGAAAATTATAATGCAAACATTTCAACATTTTAAAAATAAATTATTACTTTTAGAAAAATTTAAAAATATTTTTGAAAAATTGAACTTTGTAAGTAGAGGACTCTTTAATACATAAAAAAATTCGTTTCCGAAAAAATAGTATAGTTTTAAAAAAAACTATAATATCATAGTTTTAAATCAGACGTAAAATTTAGTGCATTTAGTAATTAAAGGGTTAATCTTTATTTATGTAGATATTATTCTCTGACCCATATTTCTGAACATTCATTATCGTGTAATCAAATTTTTTTCGTACACACGAAAGAAATGAAGCATTTTAGGAAAGTAGGTCTGTGTATGTCCGTTTTTCTAGGTCAAGTTATATTGTTTTTCTGGGCAAAAGTAACTCTTAAATCGAAAGTGACGAAATGTGTTTAAAAAAAATATAGAAAAAACTTATTTTGTTTCAAAAATTGTTACAACTTTTTTTGGGATCATCAATAACAATACTATTAAAAATTAAAAGTTAGATATAAATAAATACTATTTTCAGAAAATATTTTTACTTATAGAAATTCAAGACGCGAAATTTTTTTTTGTGCTCAGAACATGTAATACTATTTAAAAAATTTATTACAAAATTTTCCTTCATATTTTCTTAAAATAAATGTTTTATTTTTACGAAATATAAATTATTTTCTTTATAAAATTCGAAAGAAATATTGAATGAACATTTATAAAAACAATATAGCATTTTTATTGAGTAATTCCGTGGGAAGTGATCACAAGAATTTTGGATGATCGGAGCAATTTTAATGAAACCTTCTGAATATGTTCCTTTATGTGTACAAAATGAAAGACCACATATAGTTTTTCAAAAATTTTCATAATTTTTTGTGATGTCTCTAATTCAATTTTTTGACACTGTTTTTAAAAATATAAAACGTAACTTTTTTTCTTATTATCCAATTGAGATCAATTTCTTTTAACCCTTTGCGTCATTCTGGGTCTCAGAAACCCACATACATTTTTCAATTTTTCAAATTGATTTTTTGTCAATTCCAGATTTTGTGTTTTTATACGGCTATTTAGACATTAACAAGTGTAAAAAAATAGTTGAATAATTGTTAATTGTTAAACATACACTTACAGAATATTTAATTCTAACTTTTTCCCCAAAAATTACCCTCATTTTAATTTATTAGATAAAAGACTATCATAAAAAGCAAAATTATTTCTATTTTTTTTTTAAATATCCTTTCATAGTTTTGTGATTTTTTTAGTTTTAATTTTTGGCTTCTAATTCTTATTTTAAATAAAACTCTAAGCAGAATCTTAGTGCTAACAAAAATATAAGTAAAAGACTCCAGGGAAATTTTTTTGTAAATAATATATTTATCAAACGGAAAAAACAAATTAGACTACTAAACCTTTTAGGTAAATTAAAAAATTTTAATTAAAACAAGGTTTTATTTTACAAATGTACTGTTTTACATAAAAAATTAATTAATTAGTAATTACTAATTCTTTTAGATAATAAAATATGATAATAAATTACAATAATAATAATTAACGAATGATATATTTTTTAGAAAGATATGGTTGTTGCATTTTTTAGGTCATTTTATCTGTTACGAAAAACGTTCGTCTTCTTCGAAACAACTTTTTTATTTGCATGTTTACACGAATTTTTATTTTTTGTGTTTCTAATTGGTTTTGTGTTATTGTCCGCTTGATTTCACATGATCATTACGTGGAGGCGTGACCTTTACGGGTTAATAAAATACTAAATAATTTAAATTTAAATTGTTGAATTAAATTACAACCATTTAAAAAATAAAAATTAAACTTCTAACATAATATTGTTTATTTAATTAATAATATTTGATAATTAAATTCACCTTGTTTTTTTTATTGGTATACTTCATTGTGACACGCCTTGAAATTCGATAGTATTACAGCACTTTATATATTTTGTCATTTAAAACTAAGTTATCTAACTTTATCAACATTTATATTTTGCAAATGGTTTTAAAATTTTGAATTATGCAATTAAATCATCAGATATTTTTTATGATTTTTATTGTATTAATTATTACAGTAAAAGTAATTAAATTTTTTAAAAAATATATAATTTAAATTATTAATTTTTTTTCATAAATTATCTCAAATATTTGGGAAAAAAATATTTTCCCCATATTTCAAATTCATGAATTATTCATTATTATTAAATGTATTGATTAAAATATATGATATAGTGAATTTATTATAACCAGTTAATAATATAAATATATAATTAAGAAAATATATTAAAAAATTTTTAAGGTATTTTTTTGCATAATCTTATTTATTTTACTTTGCATATCTTTTTCAAAAAGTATAAATGATGAATAAAATTTTAAAAATGCGTTTTAAAATTTAAAAGGCCGTAAAATGTTTGGATAACAGAAGTCCGAATAAAATGATTTCCTGTTCAGATAACAGAGGGTTCGGATATTTAAGATTCCACTGTACTTAATTTCATAAAAAGAATTTTTAAAGAAACATAGATAATTTATTTTAAATAGCCTTAATTCTATATTTTTTATTTGGATATAATCCAGATAAAATTTATTATTTAACAAACATAATAATTATAAAAAATAATAAACAATGTGAAATTTTTAATTTAAGATGAATTCATACTCAAAATCGTGTTCCAATTTCACATACGGTTTTTCATGGATTTCCATTTGGATTCCTGGGGCGCATGATTATCCCATAAAAATCATTAGTTAGAATTTTCACTTTCAACAATTGTTCTAAAATTATTTTTATATTATTAATTGATTCCAAGAATTTGATAAAAAAAAGGATGTTGGTAAAAAATTTTGGTAAAATTAGGTTTGATAAAAATCTGTTTTTGGTTAAAAGGTCTTGGGATTGCATTATTTTGGGAAAATAAATTTTTGAAAAAATGGTCTTTGGAACTGGTAGATTGTAAAAAGTGGCCCCCAATCAAAATTATATTACAAACTATAACTGCAAAGACTTTACTATGCGATATTGTATTACATAATTTTTACTACTGTGCAATAATAGGTCAATTATTTAATCAACATTTCATTCACTTTTTTCAAGTAAACCAATCGAGCTAAAATTTTATATTCGAAAAAAATTAAAGCGCAATTACTGATTGATTAATTTATGTATTTAATAAATTTTATAGATTAGAAACTATTTGTGAATAGGCCAAAAAATAATCAAATATGTATACAAATAAAGCATAAATTTACTCTCTTAAAATACGACGTAATTTATGCTTCAAATAATAAATGACGCAATTCAACTTTAACTATGAGTAGTAAAATAACGAAGAACTGTAGTCTGTCATTATATATATGAATCGAATTCTCTCTATTAAGTCAATTAAAAATAGATTACTGACCATAATTCGTTCTATGTAACTTATTATTTATTTATTTATACACGGGTTTAAACAAACCCTTTTGTACATAAATACAAGATAATAATCTAACATTATTATATGAATAGTACTTTATGAATAGGCTAGGTAAATAAAAATATCTTTAAAAAGTTTCCCCACGTGGAAAGATTCCTAGGAAAGTGCTTCTGAGAATTTCCTAAGAATCTTTCCACGTGGGTCTGCAATAGAACTCCTGTTTTTAAAATTTGATGAAGATAGTTTTCCCCGTTTTCTATTTTTTATTACATAAGTTTACAAAAGTTTTTATTTTTTTAGATATCAGAGTGATTACCAATATGTATATTTGTGTGTTGAACACGATCCCGGGTTCCAAAATTGCGGATCACTTTTAGGATTTTTAGTAAAGTGGGGGTAAAGTTTTCAGAATATTTTTCCTCCTTAACCCAGGTGCGAATTTTTGGTCGGCCCAAAGTTGGGCCAACTATACCTATGGTTGGCCCTCCTTCGCATGCCAAAGGTTCGGCCAACTATGAAATGATAACGGTCCGCCAACCATTGGCGACATAGGTTGGCCCGACAACTGACGCCAACGTTGGTCCAACTTGAAATGCGTATGTTGTGCCAACCGTAATTTTCAAAGATTGGCCCAACAACTAATGCCAACGTTGGTCCAACTTAAAATACTTAAGATGTACCAACCATCACTTTCAAAGGTTGGCCCAACAACTGATCCCAAAGTTGGCCCAACTTAAAAAAAAAAGCTGAAAATTAATTACAAACGTGAATTAATTATTAATTACACAATTAACACATTATTATTGTGAAGAACATTACATAAACCTTAAACTATTATTATTAAACGCAATTGTCGACATACATTTTAGAAAATATTTGACGCTCGCTGGGATCGAACCCTGACCTAACGCACCGCAGACTAATACGCTAACCACTAGACTATACGCTCGCATGTGAAAATAAATGAAAAATGATTTCATAAGTTGCGACCCAGTAAAAATATTTTTACTTTCTTAATAATTCATTAAGTGTCTTAAACGGGTGATAGAAGCCACAAAATAATAAAATACTGGAATTAGAAACAACTTTTATTTTATTACTGAATATGTTTAATATATATATATATATATATATATATATTTCCAACTATTTGTTATGTAGTTTTTTCATCCGTCGGACCAACCCTGTTCCAGAGTTTGGCCAACCAGATCTTAAAAGTCTTTCAAACTATTTTTCCCAGAGTTTTGCCAACCTTCGGACCAACCATGGCCCAGAGTTTGGCCAACCAAAGCTTTTAAGTCTTTTAAACTACGTTTTTTGGAGTTTTGCCAACCTTCGGGCCAACCATGGCCCAGAGTTTGACCAACCAAAGCTTTTAAGTCTTTTAAACTACGTTTTTCGGAGTTTTGCCAACCTTCGGGCCAACCATGGCCCAGAGTTTGACCAACCAAAGCTTTTAAGTCTTTTAAACTACATTTCCCGAGGTTTTGCCAGCCAGTGGGCCAACCATGGTCCAGAGTTTTGCCAACCAAAACTTATAGGTCTTTTAAACTACATTTCCCGGGGTTTTGCCAACCAGTGGGCCAACCATGGCCCAGAGTTTTGCCAACCAAAACTTATAGGTCTTTTAAACTACGTTCCCCGGAGTTTTGCCAACCAGTGGGCCAACCATGGCCCAGAGTTTTGCCAACCAAAACTTATAGGTTTTTTAAACTACATTTTTCGGAGTTTTACCAACCTTCGGGCCAACCATGGCCCAGAGTTTGGTCAACCAAAGCTTTTAGGTCTTTTAAACTATGTTTGCTGGAGTTTTGCCAACGGTTGGCCCAACTCTGGGTTAAGGTTGGCCCGATGGTTGGCTAAACTTTGCAGCCCAAAGTTGGCATGCAAAGTTGGCCCAACCATGGGTTCATGTAATCACCAAAGTTGGCCCAACTTTGGCGGACCAAACTTTGCATGCCAAAGTTAGGCCAACCTTGGGCCAACCATCAAACTCTGGCGGCCAACCTAAATTCGCACGTGGGAATCTGACGTTCCAGAGATTTCTATATAGGCTTTAATTAAAACTTAAGTCGTATACTTTAAGACCCACATGCGCAAGATTAAAAAAAATTTGAAATTTTTTTAAAAATGTGGTTGAAGACACCAAAAGAGATTATTAACGTTAGTAACACCAGTTTTTCAAAATTTCAAAATTTTGTTTTATCTTACCCATATGGGTCTTAAAGTGTACAATTTAAGCCTATATATAGAAGTCAAGTTGAGAAGAAAAATTCTGAAAACCCTCAAAAACACGTTTTTTGTAGACTTTACCCCCACTTTTCTCAAAATTTCAAATTTTTTTAAATTGCGTATATGGGTCATAAATTGTACGATTTAAGATTTAATTTAAGGGCATATAGAAGTCTCCAGCACATCAGATTAAGGAGAAAAAAAATACTGAAAACCTTTAAAAACATGGTTTTTGAGGTCTTTACCCCCATTTTTTCAAAATCCTAACGTGATACGCAATTTTAAAACACGGGATGGGATCGTGTTCAGCACACAAAAATACATTGGAAACCACTCCGATATCTAAAAAAAAATAAAAAGTCTTATTTTGTAGATCTATGTTATCAATTAATAATAATTTTCATTAAACGTGTGAAGTATTTTTTGTCTTATAAGATTACCAAAATGTAAACTTAGAGAAAGTTACATCATTCTAAGTAAATTCTAAGCGAAGAATTTAATTGAAGATTATTTTTTCCCATTTTTATTGCATTATAACATTTAATATAGCAGATTAAAGATGTTAAATTGCTTCAAATTAAGACAAAACTTGTATTTTAAATGGACTTGTTATTGGCGATTCCAACAGCTACACTAGCGCCACAGTTGAACTAATTTAGGCGTGACTCGCTCTGTAGCACTCCATGTGTTTTAAACTATTTTTTTTTATTTAACGCTTAAAAATAATTTTACAAACGCAATAAAAATATCAGAATAATTAAATAATTTGAAATAAACTGTCAAAACAGAGACTGCTTTAGAGCGAGTCACGCCTAAATTAGTTCAACTGTGGCGCTAGTGTAGCTGTTTGAATCGCCAATTTATTTTGAATTAATATCCTAATTAAGAATTCTGTAAAATGTAAATTCAAAAAAATGAAAATTCGGTTAGAGAAGAATTCGTTCTAATATCCTTTCTGTAAAATAAAGAATTTTTTATGTGACTATTCTGTCTTATGAAAATTCGAAAAAATAATAATTCTATATCAAATTCAATTTCCGTGGCATAAAAATTCTGTAAAATAAAAATTTTAGTAACAATTCTGTAAAATAGAAATTCGGTTAAATGAAGTTTCTGTTAAATTGGATTTCTGTTAAATAATAATTTAAAAAGATAAAAATTTGGTTAAAAGTAAATTTTAAGTAATCAAATTCTGTCAAATAATACTTCTAACAAATTAATTTTAGAACTTATTCATGCGTATCAAATATAATCATAGTCGATATAACCGATTTTAACAGTTTTTTCCTAGTAGTACAATGAAAATAAATTTTCTCTCATGAAATTCAAACTTTGCATTTTTTTGTGTGGGTTAAAACATTTTTAAAGGGTTTCTGCATATTTCTCCTTTAATCTGTAGAGATTAAGATTTTATTTTCAATTATTTTTATGAAATTATATCAACTGTATCAAAATTTCTACGATTTTGACACAAAAATTAATTGCTTTCCTCACTGTATGGTATTAAACGAAATAAAATATCTTTATCAGTATTACGAAACAGATAAATAAGACTTTGTGAAACACTTCTATAAATATTTGTTTTTTGTTAAAACTGTTTTATCATAATAATAACAATTATATCAATTATTTTAGGAATTTGTTACTCTCACACAGAACAACAATTAGCAAAGTAGTAAGCCGATTTAATAACTTTAATTGTTTTTTTTTGTTACAGGACTCAGCGCATGCGAAAGAAAATCATTTATCTTTTTAAGAAAAGAACTTCCTGTTCGATTAGCAAATATTATGAAAGAAATTCATTTGTTACCAGAAAATTTATTAAGAACTCCTAGTGTTGGAGTTGTTAACAATTTATATATAACGTCTTTTGAGGAAATTATTCATTTCGAAAAAGCTGATGTCAACAATACAACATTGGATAAGTAAGTTTAAATTTACTAATTAATTAACCACATTGATAACACAGCCACGCGTACAAAAAGAGTTTTCATCTGGGGGTTTGATTATGTTTACTATATGGTTTTGGAGTCGCTGAATCCGAATCGAATTTTGTACAGCATGTAGCTCTTAAAAGGGTTGTCCTGGTAAAAAATTCCGGACTTATCTAGAATTAATTCGAAGCAGTCCGGTTTATTGTCAGGTTTTTTTCATCCGGAATTAGTCCGACTAAATCCGAAATTTGCCCTATTTGTATAACTGGTGAATCCCGAATTAATCAATATCCGAAGTCAGTCCGATCAAACGTAACTAGTGAATGTAGATTCTAGATTTATTGATTACACAGACCGGATTAATTTTGGATTCAATAAAAGTAATTTTGCATTTATTAGTTGTGAATCATCCGATTAATTTCGGATTAGACTGGATTAATTCTGGATTTACTAGTCACACAAATAATACTAATTTCGGACTTAACCGGACTAATTTCCGTATGATAGAAACCCGACTCTAAAGCGGACTGATTCTGATTAATTCCGCATTCCGAAATATTAACCAAAGTAGTGACTATTAGTCAGAAGGCAACGTACCTTTTACGCCGACATTGAACAGTTCTTATAGAACTTGAGAATCACCTCAACTGTGAGAGAACTGCACCTGGCGGCTGACTAATGCGGATCATTTTCAGATTATTGTCCTACAATTTCTGGATTAATCCGGAATGATCTGTCTGTATTTAATCTGAAATCAGTCCGAAATTTTAATTAGGGCTATGTTGTTCAGAAATTCATCATGAGCGTGCAGAAAATGCAGGTTGAAGTTCATGACACAGTAAAAACCCGGGCTAAAAATGATCCAGCCAGCAGGATCATTTTGATCCGCAGAAAAAATGAGTCAAGAAGGTGGCGCCACGTTCTATGTCTTTTAGCATTGGTTCATTTTTGCTGCGGATCAAAATGAGCCCAGGTTTTTACTGTGCAAGCATTCTAGTTTTTCGTAGTCTTAGTATTGTATTGTGGACTTTTCCGATTTCCTAGGAAGTTTTGAGCAACTACTCGAAAACTCAACCAGACTTCCTTCTTCTGATTTTTCATCGTACTGATAAATAAAGTATCCCTGAACAGTTTCTAAATTTGAGGCCCATCAAATTTTAATTTTATCATCAGAAAATTTAGAGAATACCTTTTGAAAATACTTGAAACATTTACCTGTCTTTGACAAACTGTTCCAACAGACCTATTTTTATATGAAGAGAAGGGACTAGGATCTTTAATAGATCCACTAGGAGGTCGATAATAAAAAATTTAGGGTCCCCTACTTATTTAAAATAATCCTTGGTACTTTGTGCTTGTCGCAAGCTGAAAGTACCACACTATAGTAACTAAGTATTTTCAAAAATTTATTCCATAGGCTCATCTAAGGCTCTTAAATGGGACTAATTTGAATTTTCAAAAACCACCCCTAAGTCCAAAAACTACATACCCAATTATTAAAACTTGATTAAATCAAAAAATAATCATATAGGAGTTAAGGGTTAATTTAGGGCTCTTAAATAGCACCGAATTGGATGTTCAAAAATGATCCACCAACTTTAAAAACTACCACTGAATAGTTCAAACTGTATATGTTCAAAAAACAAACACATAGGAATTTAGGGCCATGAGAAAAAATTGAGTTTGAACTATTAAGGGGTAGTTTTTGTAGTTGGTGGATCTTCTTTGAACATCCAATTCAGTGCTATTTAAGAGCCCTAAATGAGCCTTAAATTCCTATATGATTATTTTTTGATTAAATCAAGTTTTAATAATTGGGGTTGTAGTTTTTGGAGTTAGGGGTGGTTTTTGAAAATTCATATTAGTCCCATTTGAGAGCCCTAAATGAACCCAAAATACCTATGGACTAAATGGACTAAATTAGCCCTAAATGTTGGCATATATAAAAACTTATTTGGTAAAAGTGGTACTTCTAGGATTACCGACCTTCTACTAGAGATTCAGCGACCTTAAAAACATACAATTAACATGTATTGACCCCCAAATCAAAACTCTTTTTTTTGTATGGATATGGCCGTGTAATTAAAACAAAAATAAATGTATAACGTTTTTACATAGGAAGAAAATTGAATTAAAAGTTTTACGTCATTACTTTCCTTTTATAGCCTAACTACTTTTGGAATTTTTCTGATTTGCATCTTATTATACATAAACGTTTGTTTCAGATTCTGTCAAGCTCTCATCAAAATTAGAAACAGACATACTGATGTCGTTGAAACAATGGCACGGGGTGTTTTGGAATTGAAGGAATCACATGACGTAGACGTTCAAACGGAAAACAGTATTCAATACTTTCTAGATAGATTTTTCATGTCTAGGGTGTCAATTCGAATGCTTATAAATCAACACAGTAAGTTAAAAATTTATTTAATTTTTCTGATTTGTAAAAAAATTTAACTTTGTTCTTATGATGGATTTTTTATTATCTAACCTAAAAATAAAGTAACGATTTTATAATGAGGGAAAAATTAATGATTATTTATTCATGTAATGGAAGATTTTTATGTTTTATTTGCAGCGCTACTGTTTGGCGGTGAATTAAATGGACATAACAGACATGTAGGTTGCATAGATCCTTTATGCGACGTTATTGGTGTCGTTAAAGACGCCTATGAGAACGCACGATTTTTGTGTGATAGATATTATTTAGCTAGTCCAGAGTTGATAGTTAAACAACATAATGGCAAGTATGAAAATATTGATACTAATTTTTTTAGCAATGGAAGATAGATAATAGTGGAAAATATTTGTTTAGTTCGACACTATCGAACCTAGACGTAATATTTTTTTTTCTTGAAAACCACTTTAGTCCAAGATGAAATTTTTAGAAATTATAAATTACATTTACAGCTTTTTCTGATATAAATAAGTAAACACATAAAAAAAACTGACTTATTTTAAACATACAAATCATTCCATTCATTGGGGAACTGATTTAAAATCAGTAGCATCAGAGTTAAAACCTAAAGTAGAAATATGTTCTAGAATCTTAGTGGGGGGTATAAAAGCCGAGCAAAAAATAATATCCAAATTATTACCTATTTAATTATTTTAAGGCTTAAAAGTAGGATTATAATTATTAATAGAAGTGAGATTATGGTCCAATGCTGTCGAAAGCAGGTTGCGTCCTCTACGGTTGGAGATCACACTTCCAAAACAATTTCATGTCTCTTTGAGATTGTGCTTCTTGCATTTCATAACGTCAATTTAAAAAAAAATTTGGTCTTACTAACCATTTGTATTTATTTAAGTAACATTGCAACTAAATTATCTTTCGGATTTTCAATTCTAATCCAAACACTAAATGAAAAATATATAAGTGAGTTTTGTAAATATTATTAAGAGAAATAAATTTTTTAATGCAATTTAAAATAATATTAGTTACAAGTAAATAAATTTGCTATAATGCTGTGTGAAATGTAATGTCCCTTGTTAAATTTTTATTCAAAATATTTGAATAGAATTTGGTATTTAATGTAACTGTGCATTGAAAATGATATTTGAACCTAACCGTCATTAGAAACGAAGTTGGAATAAATTTATGTCGCTTGAACTGAGAACGTTTTTGGTTTGTGCTTGCGTAATTGTTTTGGAGTTATACCGATCGCTACTAACATATAGGATATTGTATATTTGTGATGAAAAGCTTTAATTTATATCTTTAATTTTTAATGCATAAACTTTTTCTAATAGCTACTTTTTCAGAACTAGAAAATGGAAACGAAATCAGAATTGTGTACGTTCCAAGCCATTTACATCATATGCTTTTTGAACTTTTTAAAAATAGTATGAGAGCTGTTATGGAGCACCACGGATCCGATGTATCTGAATATCCTCCCGTTAAAGTCACTGTTGTAAAAGGAAGAGAGGACATTTGTGTGAAGGTAAACTTTTACGATAATACGTAGCACTATACTTTGTAGGAACCTAATGGAAAGCTAATCGTGTTAAGTTCGTAAGTTTACTTCCAGCTATGTTACAGAGACTTTTAAATGTCTCCCAATTTAAAGTTAGTAGTGTTAATTTCCTCAAATGGGCGGGTTTTTGGTAACGCCTAAGTTTCTCAAAGTGGGTTATGATTCTCCTCTTTTTGTTTGCGCGCCGAACGTAAGGCAATTCTCAGTCCTCAAATTTATTTTCAATCATTTCTAATTGCTACTACACTGAAAAAGTCTTAAACGATCAGCAGTTCCAACAGTGGAAATGCAGTAGCTCTTTGCTTTGGAGTGTCTGGAGCATGATTTTGAGCAACCTCTATGCTAAATGTTGGGCGAACAGATGTTCCACGTTATTGTTACCAAGATTTGGTGATGCTGCAGCATCAGACTTGGGCACTCAGAGCACCCAAGATGGGAAACAGTTAGCCCCACAATGAAGTTGTGCAGAATCTCTTTATTTGGTGCTTCTCATACATGCGTTGGGAATTCTAAACGCCCAAGACTTTTTCAGTGTAGGACTCCAAAATTAATTAGAGGAACAAGGGAATGAATGACCGATAATTGCCTGGATATTAACACTGCTAACTTTGTAACGATAGAAGTCATAGACATATACCTGACAACTCGCACCTTCCTCCTCAGTCGCCTTTCGATTCACCTAGAGGAGCTACTCTGGCTAACTGGAAGCGATCTCAATCCTGGCTACCTGTATTCAGTTGTGGAGCTTCTAATTGAATACAGGTAGAGCAAAGGAAGGGATTCTTGACTATGGAAGACACTGCGTCAAGAGAACATCCTTAACTTCCTTGCTCCTTGCATGTCCTCACGAATTCTCTGTAGGAGCTTCTGCGAGAAATCGTGAAGATACCTTTGTAGTACCTTAAACGTCATCCTCGCTAACTCTGTAGATGCGTCTGCGAGAGGATGCAAATATGACGTCATATTCAAGAACCTAGAGTACCGTCTCCGCGACTTCTCTGTAGGAACTTCTGCGAGAGGATGTAGAGACGAGTACTTCTTTTCACGTTCACCACCCCAGGTTAGCAGATCTTTCACCTGGATGCAAAACTCTGGGACGTATATTTAACTCAGGGTGCCCTCTGGTTTAAGATATTTATCCGAGGAAATTCCTAGATGTTCCTAGTTTACGACAGACAAGAGTATCTGGTACATACCTGATCCTTCAACCCAATTGACTCACTTCTAGTCTTTGCTGGAGACAATTACCTCCGAATGCACGCCCTAGTTTTTGTTTGCCGTGATATAGCTTATATTCACATCTAAGATAATTTAAAGGTACCTACGCATTTTATAGACAGGGAAATGTCCAGGACATTAGTGTAAGAGGGCAGTGCGATCGACCAACCGAACATCAGCGGTTAAGCGCGACATTAACTAAATTCAGTTTCTTATATTTTATATTTTTTTATTCATTATATTTTTGCATTGTTTAGATTCTTTTGTTCATTTATTATTTTTGTATCTTTTATTATTATTTTATTTAAACAATATATTCTTTTTCGAAGGTTTAAATAAAGACTCGTTAATAACTACACCTCTCCTCTTGATCATAGTAAGAAATAGTTCAAAAATTAATCGAAACATAAATGGTGCCTCAAACCACATATAAGAATTAAGTGAACAAGTACTCTGCCCCCATTCGGTGAGCGGATCATTTGACTTAAAAACCCAGATCACAACTTTATAAATCGGGTGACATTTAAAAGACTATTAGCTGGAAGTTAACCAAAAGTTATTTTCAACTACCTACTAAATTATTTTTAACAAATTTAATGTAATAATAATAATAAACAAGGTATTTGTAAATATTATTTCAGGTGTCTGATCGAGGAGGTGGAATTCCTCGCTCTCAGACGGAGCATTTATTTAAATACATGTATAGTACTGCTCCTCAGCCGAGTCCTTCTGAAAATCATACTGTTCCTCTTGCTGGATATGGTTATGGGCTTCCATTGTCGAGATTATATGCTAGATATTTTCATGGCGACTTGATTCTTTTGAGCTGTGAAGGTTATGGAACAGATGCTGTTATTTATTTAAAGGTATTTCAGTCATTACTTGTTGTATGTCATTTTTTGACATTTTCGAAAACAAAATTTTAAATAAAAGGCTTACATTTTTCTCTTATCATAATACATATAAGAAAATTTCTAAAAGGGAAAAGTGTAAATCATGAAGCACTTCCTCTTTTGTCCCCTCTCCATAATTTATTATTGAGATAATCTCGTTTTCCTCTATCCCGATATCATAAATAGAAGTCGAATTTTTTTCTAATAACTTTTTTTTTAATCTTTTGTACAATATTGACAAATTTTCTTTTTTAGGCATTATCCAACGAGGCAAACGAACTTTTGCCTATTTTCAACAAGACTTCCTGCAAATTTTATAGAACACCGATATCGACTGCAGATTGGAGCAGTCAATGTGGTGGTAGCATGGCAACAAGACAATTGAATTTGAGTCAAAATCAAGGACACAGGCTTCCTCAAGGAATACAAGTGGGTCAATGCTAGCAGGAATATTTTGAAATAGATGAAGATTTTAAACCCTTAAAATAATTCTTTACAAAATGTGTTTGCAAATGAAAATTATTGTTTTATTTTTATCACTGCCTGCGTATTTTTTTTTTTTTTTGTGACTTGCACTGAAAAAAAGGGACCAAGGAAGCAAAAGTTATGTTTACCACAGTTTTACGCTAGTGTTCCAAAAAAAAATAAAGCCCAGAGGATTTGTGCGGGTAAAAGTGGATCACTTTAATCACAGATTTATCATGGACGTTTGGCCTCTTGATTTCTAATCCATGGTATTTTCACTCAAAAATTTCAAAACATAACCTATAATTTTTTGTTTCTTTAGGTCCCTTTCTTCAGAGCGCGTCAAATTTTTTTTCAAGTATAATGAAAATGATATTAATAAAATTGTACAGTATAGTGTTTAACAATAATACTGTACATCAAGATCCTTGTTTCGGTGTTTTTTTGCGTATTGAGATTTAAGTGTGTTATTTATGTTTAATATGAACATATATGTCAATTTCAAAACTTTTCAGTCAAATTTACTTTATTCAAACCATTTAAGTTTTTTGTTTTAAATCTCAGTTGTTAAAGCGTCTTATACATATATAGTATTTTATCATAGCTTTTTTAATTTTTAATGAAACAAACCTAACCTATATGTGAAAAATAAATTCCATTAAAAAAAAACTGTGATTCGATGAATAGGGGAGAAACAGACAATGCCGGTCATTATTGGTCAAATTTGAGTAATCATCTTGTCTCGTTAAGTTTTCTCTTATTTTCTTATTAGAGGCAAAAGTCTAAAATTAAGGTAATATTATTAAGTAATTATGTCAGTTTATGCATGTTATATCATTACAATATAATAATAATATAAAAGAATAAAATAAATATTATTTCACTAATTCTCCTAAAAATTGAATAGTGACCGGCATTAGCAACAAGCACTTTTTTCAATTTATTTTTTCATGTGCTATGAATTGAATTTAATTTAGTTACTAATTATATTTAGCAGCATAGAGATATGAAATATTCTCTAACCAATTATTATTTTAAGTAAAAATATTTTAATTTATTTAAAATAATGGAAATATCGCTTAGGTGAGCGCTATTACCTGCATCTCCCCTATCGTTATTTTTAGCTAATAGTCAAATATTTTTGTTATTGTTATAAAACACAATGCGCCTGATCACAAGGCATAAAAATCTACATTTTTAGGTAACATATTTAATTGATTTGTAAAGTTGTGCAAACTCCGTCTAAAATTATTAAACGTAATGTGTTATATTACATATTGTATCAAGTAATACAATATTATAATATAATTATTATATGTAATATAACATATAGTAATTAAAGAATTTATATAATTCTTATAATTGTAGAATTTTTACATTGGAAAAATAAAGTTTGCTTTTAATTGAATATTTTAAAAACGAAATTATGAGTGTTTAAATTTAAAATGCCATTTTTCTGTCCTGACCATGAAATTCAAGTATTAATTAATCAATTAATTTTTGTCATCACTTTTGATCTAATATGGCAACTTAAAAGTTTCTAGTAAATCAGAACGATTTTAAAAAAAGTCCGCCATATTGGATCCGCCATTTCTAATTTTGAAAAACTAACATCGGATTCGTAATCAGCAACCTCAAAAAACCCGAGTAATCCTTTTGAGGCAGATTTAACAATACTTTTTAACTGTTAGTGCAATATTCTATTCATATCTACTAAAATATATGCAGTGACTTTTCCGACATTTTGAGTCCGCCATCTTGAAATTGAAAGTTCTTATATGCATAGTTTGAAAGTACAATACCCAGTGGGCAAAAGACAATGTTCGTTCCATAAACGTTCTTAAAACGATTTTAGAACATTTCATGTTTGCCAAAAAAGTTCTAGAACATTATTTGAACATTTGAAGGGTAGAATGACAAAAGGGGTCAAGCGCCAATTTATCGAAAATGAGGTTTTTGCATAAAAAAATCAAGAAAATTCATTTACACATTTCTGTAGAAGGATTTCCTTTTTTATTGCGTATTTAAATCAGTTTTTAATAAAAATTAAATTAATAAAATAGCCTCAAATTTACTTTATTGCAACCTGATTGAAAAACAAAAGAAAGTGATGAGTCAATAATATTATCAAAATAAAAAAAAATATTATTTTTTTAGGTTTTATTTTAATATTTTATTTTAATTTTATTTTAATAATATTTTAATTAATAAAATTAATAATAATAATAATGTATTTTCAATTTTAAACAATTTTAAAATCATTTTGTTATTAATTTTTAAATATTTTTATGGTTATACTAAGTGAACAATTGAATTTAAAGATGAAAGTATTGCTCAATTCCAAAGCAAGCAATTAATTCGTAATTTTCTTGAAAACAAACAATTTTTTAAAGGAATTTTTTTTTCTATTCATTTCGTTGATTCCATAGAAAGAAACTAATTTTTCAGTTATTCTTTAAACTGTATATTTTTTTTATAATTAATGTTTAAAGAAAATGTGCTATGGAACCACAGTTTTTTTTAATTTTATCGTTAATATGTAGGTTTATTTCAACAAATTGTTGTTTATTTATTAAAACATACTAATATATCGAAACGGTTTTCTCAGTTTTTTTTTAAATGACCTGCAAAATTTTTAAAAATGATTTTTTTACTTCCTGTAAAAACAGTGAATTGGCGCTTGACCCCTTTTGTCATTCCACCCTTCATTTATGTCCATAAAATGTTTCAGAACATTATTTGGAGGATATGAAACGTTCCGAAAACATGGTTTTTTTGCCCACTGGGTACTATTTTATCTACCAATAGAATAAGTTGAACGACTTAAAAAAAAAATTTGGCTTCAAAAAAAATATTTTAAAAAACAGTGATTTTTTAGGTTTCTTTTATTTTTATCCCACATATTGGATTTCTTGATGGACCAATCTCTATTTTGACCTGAGAATCGGAAAGAGCGACCCCCAATACCCTCTAGAATCCATTGATACTAAAATATCTGGTCTTTTAATGTTTTAATTCTTACATTGAAGTTAAAGGTAAAAATGTTGGACATTTGGGCATTAATGGGTTAAGAAGCACAGAAAATAGAAACACATATAGCAACACACATAGCGCGACTTCTTGCAGTGAGGTTACTGTAAGGATATCTGTAGGGTTTGTAAGGTTACCGTGTACCGCCTACAGTAAACTTGAGGTCATCTTAAAACTTCCGCCATTACAGTAAGCTTGCACAGTAAAGCTAAGGTAAGCTTACACAGTAAGGTCGTGGTAAGTTTACATGGTAAGGTGGTGGTAAGCTTACACGGTAAGGTTGTTGTAAGCTTCCCGTAAGGTTGCTGTATATTATAATATAATTATTTTTAATATATTTTCATATTACTCTATGTTTACAGTAACCTTACAGCAACCTTACAGTAACATTACGGGAAGCTTACAACAACCTTACCGAGTAAGCTTACTAGAACCTTACCATGTAAACTTACCACGACCTTACTGTGTAAGCTTACCTTAGCTTTACTGTGTAAGCTTACTGTAATGGCCGAAGTTGTAAGATGACCTCAAGTTTACTGTAGGCTTACACGGTAACCTTACAAACCCTATACAGATATCCTTACAGTAACCTCACAGCAAGAAGTCGTGCTATGTGGGAAAACTAAAGTTTTTATTCTGCTACAAAAAATAGGATAATTATAATTTAAATAAAAATACTTAGAACATTAAAAAAGCTTTGGATTTATCTTGAAAAAAATATATTTCAAAAATATTCTGTAACTTTCAAAAGTATAATTTGATTACAAAAATAATGTGGAATTAGAATTTAAACAGATGTTAACAATATTGGCAGAATTATTAATCACAAATTTTGTTACACTTTTTCATAAACTTCGTATTCAAATTGAATATCATTTTCTTCTTGTATTCCTTTAGGTACATCTGGGTCACTAAATAATAAAGAAAATTAAAATTGTGAGATTAAAGAAAGAAAATTTATTAAAAATGTAAAAATCATTTTTAACTACATAGATACTTACCAAACAAGATCAAAGTTTTTTGGTAAAGGTGGAAAAAATGTATCGCATTCAAATTGTTTTTTCACTCTTGTTAAATAAAGTCTATGAAAGTAAGGTGAATTCATTGATTCCTGGAAATCATTATAATATATGTCTAAAAATTGTTTTGCAATATTGTTAAAATAAAATTAATAAATATATAATACTTTGTAGACTACTCCACCTCCAATGACCCAAATTTTTTCCACTTTATCTTTTAATGGAGTGGAAGTAATTTTTTCAATTGCATTTTGCAAACTGTGACAAACGATTGCTTCATCGCTAAGATTTCTAAACAAATTTTGTAATTAATTTAAATTCACGTCTACAAATGAAATCGAAAAAGTATGCAAAGCTTTCAGAAATTTTACATTGCAATTGAAAAAAAAAATTACACTTACAATTGTTGAGATGTTAATACCATGTTTATTCTGTCTTTTAAAGGTCTAAATTTATTTGGAATGCATTCCCAAGTTCTTCTCCCCATAAGAACGACATTTTTTTTATTTGGGTCCACAGTTTTACTTGTCATTTTCGTAAAAAACGCCATTTCACTTCTATAATGTAATATTAATGTTAATTTAAAATCGTGACAAAAGGGGTTAACGCCAATTTCATGTTTTTACAGAAAACGAAAAAAATATATTTAAAAATTGTGCTGGTCATTTAAAAAGAAACTAAGAAAACCATTTTGAATTGTGACGCTCTTTGAAGAAAGGGACCTAAGAAGGAACGAATTATAGGTTATGTTTACGACAGATTCATTTTGATTAAAATTTCTTTATTTTTATTTAAATATAAAATTAAAAACAGTTTTTATTTTACTTGGATGTAATGAAGACGTAAACATTAATGATTGATTGATTCTCTTCGTGTATTTTCACTTAAAAATTTCAAAACATAACCTATAATTTTTTGCTTCTTAGGTCCTTTACGTCGCGAACACAATTTTTTGATTATGTGAAAAAATATATGATTTGAAGAATCACTGGAAAACTAGTCAAAAAAATTACATTTATATATTATTATTATTATTATTTTTATATTAAATTGACAATAATATTATCGAATTTTTTTTCACATATAAATCAAAAATAAGATATACACAAGATAATTTCGTAATCTTAAATTTTACACAATTTTAAAAATTCTTCAGTGACTATGTAAGAAAAAGGACCTTAGAGGAAAGAAATTTTTAGGTTATGTTTGTGATTTTTAGATTGAAAATACAAAGAGGACCAATTCTCAATACAAACAATATATTTAATATTCTCAAATATTCAAGAAAATCAGATTTTTAATTTAAATAATTAAAAATAAGCTTTCAATTAATATAAAACTATTTCTACACATAACCTAAAATTTTTTCCTCTAAGGTCCCTTTTCTCATATAACATAAAAACAATATATTTCAATTACTTTAAACGCCAAGGTAAATTTCCATTGATCCCAATTCCCATTCCCTCACAAGTAGCTGCAATTAAATTTAATCCTGGATTCATTTTCTTTTTATTATGAGTTCAATAGTTGTAAAAATTTGGGTGTCCACGTTTTCTTTTGCAATATTCGTCAATGTAGCCAAAATATTTGCAAGGATACAAACTCACGTGAGTATAAAGCTGGGTCTACACTATACTATCACTAGTTATTAAGCTGACTCTACATTGCCTACAAAAACGCGAACGTGAAACATGTACATGTAGAAATAGATAAAGATTGAAATATTAGCCATTTTAATCATTTATTCAAATATCGAATAAATTTTAGATTATATTTTATGTTCCGTTAATGAAAAAAATATTATTATTAAATACCGTTTGCAAATCAATTGTGTGTTGGTCTTAAGTGGCCTTATCTCTGTCAAATGTCGTCTGCTAAAAAACGTGTTGTTTGTTGCCACTAACCTGAAAATAAATATTTCTGACACTCGGATACATAAAAATTTATTTAACTTAAAAAAGAAAAGTAAATAGCTTAAATTAACTTAAAATAATACTTTTACTTAGTTATAAATAGGTGTGTACAGTGGCTCCCATAAGTATTCGTACCCCACTAATTGTTAACTTCAAGGCTATGGTATATTGTTTAAATAATTTTTAAAACTTATTTTCAAAGTATTAATGTTTAGTACGTTTATTAAGCTTTCAAAAAATATAAACATTTTTTATAAATAATAATTTGTTTTTACAAAATCTTTAAATAAATAAAACTTTGTCAAATTTCAGCCCACAAAAGTATTCGTACGCTTAAAATCTTTTAATAAAAAACGAATCTTTAAATAATAACAAACATAAACAATTTGTTAATTAATATTTTGTAGGACCTCCCTTAGCTTTAATAACACTTTGCAAGCGTTTAGGCATACTTTGTACTAACTTTAACACAGATTGTTTGTCAATATTGTTCCAAACTTGTAAAAGTTTTTCTTTCAATACTGTTTTGCTTGTTATGTCATTTTTCCTTAAGTTTCTTTCAATATCAGCCCATAAATGTTCAATGGGATTGATATCCGGACTTTGTGGAGGAGTTGACAACAAATGGGGTGTTCGATAAATCAAAAATTGTTTAACGATATTCGCCGTATGTTTCGGGTCATTGTCTTGTTGAAAGTAATAATTGTCACTCACTTTTAATTTTTCAGCACTTGAAGGCAAATGTTGCTTCAAAATGTTTAAATAAACATTTTTGTCCATAATACCATCGATGAAAACTAGATCACCGACACCTTCAGCACCCATCACCATTACAGAACCACCTCCGTGTTTCACAGTCGCTTCGAGATTTTTTAACTCCAGTTCAGTATTTGGTTTCCGCCATATATATCGACATCCATCTGAACCAAACAAGTTAAATTTAAACTTCTGGAACAGTGTGATTTTTTCAGATGAGAGTAAATTTAACTTGTTTGGTTCAGATGGATGTCGATATGTATGGCGGAAACCAAATACTGAACTGGAGTTAAAAAATCTCGAAGCGACTGTGAAACACGGAGGTGGTTCTGTAATGGTGATGGGTGCTGAAGGTGTCGGTGATCTAGTTTTCATCGATGGTATTATGGACAAAAATGTTTATTTAAACATTTTGAAGCAACATTTGCCTTCAAGTGCTGAAAAATTAAAAGTGAGTGACAATTATTACTTTCAACAAGACAATGACCCGAAACATACGGCGAATATCGTTAAACAATTTTTGATTTATCGAACACCCCATTTGTTGTCAACTCCTCCACAAAGTCCGGATATCAATCCCATTGAACATTTATGGGCTGATATTGAAAGAAACTTAAGGAAAAATGACATAACAAGCAAAACAGTATTGAAAGAAAAACTTTTACAAGTTTGGAACAATATTGACAAACAATCTGTGTTAAAGTTAGTACAAAGTATGCCTAAACGCTTGCAAAGTGTTATTAAAGCTAAGGGAGGTCCTACAAAATATTAATTAACAAATTGTTTATGTTTGTTATTATTTAAAGATTCGTTTTTTATTAAAAGATTTTAAGCGTACGAATACTTTTGTGGGCTGAAATTTGACAAAGTTTTATTTATTTAAAGATTTTGTAAAAACAAATTATTATTTATAAAAAATGTTTATATTTTTTGAAAGCTTAATAAACGTACTAAACATTAATACTTTGAAAATAAGTTTTAAAAATTATTTAAACAATATACCATAGCCTTGAAGTTAACAATTAGTGGGGTACGAATACTTATGGGAGCCACTGTATATATAAGGAAATATTATTATTAATTAATATCGACTCCCCTCCGATGATAAAGTGTTAATTCAAACTCTAGTGCAATAAAGTGTTAACTCTGAAATTTGTGCTATATAATGTCTTTTCGTTTGTTTGTGCAATATAATATCAATTCAAATTGAGTTCAATAAAATGTTAATTTAATTTTCAGTTAAATATGATGTTCATTCAAATAATTGTGCAATATAATTTAAACTTTTACACAATGTAAGGTTAAATAATACAATGGACAAAAAAGGAATTCATAGGAATTGAAAAAAATTTTTAAAATATAAAATATTATTTTATAAAATAAAATATTATTTTCTTTATAATTTTACGAATAAAAAATGAAACATTTAACCGTTAAGAGAAGCAACTTCAATGTATTTAACTAATTTGTTTCTTGGTTATAGTACAAATGACAGATTCGCAAAATTTTTCTTATTTTTCGATGATATTTCGTAACAATTTATGTTAAACAATATAAAATGTTTAGATAAATTATTAATATATTTTACAAAACTTTATATATTTTTCTGTTATTTATTAATGTTTTTGAAAAAATTATATTTAGCCTTTTAAATTTACTTTCTATAAATGTGTTCTCAGCAGAAAGATACTTTTTTAATTGAATATTATAGTTCTGAATTACTTTAAAATTTATGTTTTTTAATTTAAGTTTTACAATTTTTAACGTAAATATACCGTCAGGTATATGCTTTGTTTTTCGTAAAATGATAATGAAAATAATATTTTAAATAATGTATACAATGTGCAAAAGTTACCCGGCTGAAAAAACGTGTACAAGAAAATGTACAAGTCCTTGTACATGTTCATTCATGAACTTGTACATTTTCTTGTACATGTTCAAGTAATGTTCTTGAACCAGTTCAGCATCCGGAATTGAGACATGTTCTTGTACCAGAAATTGTACAAGATCCTGGTCAAGAAAATATACTTGTACAAGAAAATGTCCATGTTCCTGTACATAGTTTCTTGTACAAATATATTTTCTTGTCCAGGATCTTGTACAAGTTATGATACAAGAACATGTCTCATTTCCGGATGCTGAACTTGTTCAAGAACATTACTTGAACATGTACAAGAAAATGTACAAATTCATTAATGAACATGTAGAAGAACTTGTACATTTTCTTGTACAAGTTATTTCAGCCGGGTAGAATTAAAATTATATTGCATACCCGGTAAGAAGGCTTGCATTAAAAAGTTTAAAAATTTTTTTCAATTCCTATGAATTCCTTTTTTGTCCATTGTATTAAATTCCCCAGAGAAGTATCGAAAAAATTAAAGTTGAATTCTTTTCTATGACTCTAGAAACTGGAACATTTCAGTTAATATTTAAAGTAAAAATTTTGTTATAACTGCTGTAGATTACTGAAAAAAAGTATTTAAATAAAAAAATCCATTTTTTATAATGAATCTCGATCGTCATTGCAAATTACTTGTTTGGGCTCATCCACATATGTATCACGTGATATTTTTAGAAGTGGAAGGGGGGTAGGCAAACTATCACGATCCATGGAAATTTAATTTTTTAACAATAGAAAAAGTATCACGCAGGGGGGAGGAAAATATGTATCACGTGATATGTGAACGACCCCTTTTAGTTAAAAACTGTAAAGTTCATAAATGAAAAAATTAACAAAAATTTTTGTAAAAGTAACTATATAACAATTTTTTTAATAGAAAAACAATTAAGGCAACATAAAATTATTATTTTAATACTTTTCAAAGTTCTAAAGTGTGAAATTATGCTTTAAATAATAAATAACAATTAATAAAGTGGATTTCATTAAAAGGAATTAAAGTATTATTACTCTAATATTAGTTTTCGGTATTCAAAAGTTTTCACAAAAACCAGGTAAAATTTTAGTCACTGATAGGAACAGAAAAGAATTAAATTTTATGAGAAATGTCTTTTATCTCGGGAATTCAAATGTATGGACAAAAACGGAATTCAAAAGTATTTACTTTGTAGTAAATAACAATGGAGTGGTTGAAATTTTTCAATACTTTTTAATGTAAGTCTTCTTACCGGATAGCATAGTCGCACAAGAATCAACATATCTCCGGCATTTAAAATTTTTTTTTAATGTTCTTTGATTTTTTGAAAACTTAAATACATGTACTTTATGACATTATTGCATAAAAAGTTATATCTTTAACAGTTTCGTAAAAAAATTCAATTAAAACCGTAAAAATTTTTTGCATTCAGGGTGGCGTAAACCCCTTAATACATTTTAGTAAAATTTTATATTAAGGAAATCTTTAGGATTTCACATATTTTTTGTAAGATTTAATGTGGGTAATTATAAAGGAAACAGACATGGAAAATTGATTTTAAAAAATGTAAGAAATTACATAAGAATCCACATGTAGAATTCCTATGTGGTCAAAATCGTGTCCTAATTTCATATACGGTATTTTTTATGGATTTTCATATGGATTTTTACAATCAATCTGGAATTTCATATGGGTTTTTTAAATGGAATTCCATATAGCATCCCATCTAAGATCATATATAGTAATTTTCAGTAGGATTAGTTCTTCTTCCCAGCTCTTTAATGCATTTGCGTCTAATATTTATAAAAATGCATCTTTATTTTACAGATTATTCTAACAAATGAATAAAATGTCACATAGTAAAAGATCTCCTTTAATTTTTGAATTAATTGCGGAGTGCAACACCTCAAAAGCTCGAACTGGCGTAATGACATTAATTCACAGTGTAGTTGATACTCCAGTTTTTATGCCGGTTGGAACGCAGGTTGGTTTTTACATAAACTTTATTTTATTAAAAATTCAATTGAAAGATTATTTAATCTGAAGACTTAATATGCTGTATCTATTATGTAATTTAATATCCGAACGTTCAATCCACGAAATTTTACGTAAAAAGTGTTTGCGTTTTAAACATGCCAATTTTTCGAAATTCCTACGTTTTATTTATTATATTAATATGACAATTTTTGTCTAATAGGGTACATTGAAAGGATTACTGCCTCAGCAACTAGAGAATTTAAATTGCCAAATAATGCTTAGTAATACATATCATCTAGGAACTAGACCTGTAAGTTATTTCATTTCTTTAAAAAAAGTTTAAATAGGTTTATATTTATTTATATTTTACATTTAACAACAAGGAGATACTTATGTGCTCTAATCTAGAATTATTTACTCCTAATTGGAGCATTTGCCTGGAATTTTATCAAATTTGTAATTTTAGGGTCCCGAAATTCTTGAAAAAGCCGGAGGTTTGCATAAGTTTATGGGATGGAATAGAAGCTTATTAACAGACTCAGGAGGCTTTCAAATGGTTTCATTATTGAAATTAGCAGAGATCACCGAAAAAGGAGTCAAATTTAAGTCTCCTTACAATGGTATTCAAACAAATCTTTTATTTTTATTAAATAAAATATAATAAATGCATTTAAAATGTATTTACCAATTTATAAGTAAAAGTAATTAATTTTAGCTGAATCTGAATGTATGTTAACTCCGGAACATTCCATTGAAATTCAGAATGCTATTGGAGCTGATATTGTAATGCAACTTGATGATGTTGTTAGTAGTGTAACAACTGGACCAAGAGTTGAAGAGGCAATGCACAGGTAATAAACTTTTTTTTATTAATAACTAGGGGAGAGTAGTCAGGTTTGGACAGTGGTCAGAGTTGAGCCCTCGCGTTTATTTTGTTTTATTACACTAGCGCCATCTGTCTTTGTATGTAAGTATTTGTTAGCAATGTCAGCGAACTTTTCACATGTGTTGCAGTGAAGTATGCGAACAATAAAAGACGTATTATGCGAGTTAGTGCTCTACACTCAACAAAAAACTTTTTTGTTGTTTCAAAAGAAGACAATTAAGTGCAGAAATTCAGGAGAAGTTATAGAGAAAAGTTAAAACTAAACTTTAAAATCTTTTATATAGAAACAAACTTGGTTTGCGCACAAGCTTGAATACAGTGAGAGTCTGACGCCTGGTCTTACAAACGTCCATACCCACTAAAAACCCCAATACATGTATGTACTAAAACCCGAAACCCTTCTTTTGGAGCCCTTTATCCACTCTCGGAACTGTCGAAAGACTTTTGCCTTCGAGGATGGCGCTCCAACTTTATCGCAAATTCGACTTCGTCCATTCCTGCGGATATCCTGAGTTATGAATTTTTAAAAAATAATAAAAACTATTATCAATGTCAAAGAAGGAAACTTCTTCCCTTTCCATCGCCAAAAGATCTGCTGGAGGGACACTTGCAAGGACCTGCACAGTATTCGTAGATACTGTTCAGTAAGCAGAGACAATACGTCAAGTAATTTACTGCAAATGAAAACTAATTCAGTTAAATTGAAATGAATACCCTGGGCTTCAGTGAATCCCGATTAGCGACAAATTCGAATTGGAGCTATATTGCAATTCTCAAAGCTATATTCAACTTCCAAACTCTCTATTCGTACTAATTCAATGAACAAATTTTTGAGCTTTAATTTTTTTTTAATTCGTCAGCACAAATTCAATAGACGAGTTGGTCACTTTGTTTAAATTCTCAACCGATGAAAACTTATTGGTACGAATTGAATTCACAAAGGGCTTCATTGAATCTTGCTTAGCGACAAAATACGAATTGGACCTTGCGAAAAAAGTTAATTTATTTCAATTCATCTGAATTAATTTTTTTTACTGGGTTGCTCTCTGCGCGGTCAGTATATTATTACAGATGGTTACACTTCTTTAGTTCCCAAGAATGGGGCCCTTTCACCGGCGTGGGCCATTTTTTTTAAAAAACTGTTATTAAATATAAATTTAATCAAAATAATATTTAATATTTTTCTAAAAATATTGTTTTTCTATTGAAACAGAACATTAAGGTGGATTGACAGATGTTTATCTGCTCATAAAAGACCAGATGAACAAAGTATTTTTCCAATTGTTCAAGGAGGTCTTAATCCTGAATTAAGAACAGAATGTGCTAAACAATTAATAAAACGAAAAGTTAACGGATATGCTATTGGTGGATTAAGGTGATTATAATTTGAAATTTTTCAAATAGTTAAATATTTATTTTACTGTACAAATAATACAACAAAATAGAAATTGTAAATATATATAATTTATATAATTTAAAATTTTAGTGGAGGAGAAAGTAAAGATGAATTTTGGAAAATGGTTCATCTCTCTACAGATATTCTTCCCAAGAATAAACCACGATATTTAATGGGAGTTGGATTCGCAGTTGATTTAGTTGTATGTTGTGCACTCGGTATCGATATGTTCGATTGTGTTTTCCCGTCAAGAACAGCTGTTAGTATTTTTTTAAGATACTTTTTTATATTTTTATTTTAAAAAATGTTGGATCGAAAGAGGGGGAGAAGCTTTTTGGATATTTATCCCAATTAATCAAAATTTGTTATTTTTGTTTACAGCGATTTGGATGTGCTTTAATACGAAATGGACAGTTAAATTTGAAGCAAGTGCAATACAAAAATGACAAGAGACCAATAGACGATAATTGTGACTGTAGTACTTGCAAAGAATACACTAGAGATTATCTTCATCAAATCGTTACTGTGGAAACTGTGGCATGTCATTTACTCACTGTGCACAATATTGCTTTTCAATTGAATTTAATGAAAGACATACGAGAAAGTATAAAAGCGCAAAAATTTACTGAATTTGTTCAAGATTTTATGTTAACAGTGTATCCAGATAAAACATATCCAACGTGGGTTATTGATTCCTTAAAAGCTGTAAATATTAATTTATTATGATAAATATAAAAATTATGAAGCGAATCATACGTTGTTATCTTTGTTTTCTTTTTCAATTGACGTATGATTATCAATAAAAATGTAAACAATGTAAAATTAAAAATTTTGATAGGATTGAGGAAGTTAAATAAAAATTGTCATATATTTTTATCTATAGTATATATTTCGGGATATAACAAATAAAATTTCCAGAAAATATATTTTTTTTTAATCTGGTGTTTTGTTCAACTCAATTTTGATTCTGAATTTAGATTTTGAAATAATTTTTATTAAAAAAATCTTAATGAAAATATATAATAAACACTTAATTTTTATTTACTTAAATGTTAAGATGCATTTTTGCGCCGATTCAGTCCATGAAATGATAGTAAATCCGTAGAATTGAAATCCTTTCGGAAAGATTTTATATCACATAAATTCGTCAGAGTCATAACCAGAATTATCCGTATTCGTAGTCATTTTTGCGTTCTTAAATAACGAATTATAACTCCTGAAAATTAAATCATTTATTAAAAATTTTGTTTACGCTAGATCATTATATTTCGTTTAAAGTAGTTGCCAACTAAAAATATTATTTCGGAAGGAATATCCTGACTTTATAGATTAGTACATTTTGCAACTAGTGGGGAAAGTGGGTGATTTTTCGAGAGTGAAGTTTGCTGTCCGAGCGCAGCGAGAGTAGCAATCACTATCGAAAAATCATTCTTTCCCACGTGTCGCACACGACGTTTTCTCCAACGCCTTGCGAATAAATGCATTTTTATTAATTAGGAAGAATTAACAATATATTTATGCTTCATATATAATGACAACTATTTGGTTTTTTAAAATGAACAATGTTTTATTTATTATTATTATTATTTATTTATTATTTATCAAAAAAAAACTAAAAAAATATTACGATTTACTTTCCCCACGCTCGGCCGAGAAGTTAATAAATGTTCAACTTCCCCAATACTTTTTTAACCAAGTTGCACTTTCAGAGCAGGCGTTGGAGAAAAATTATTTGAATCAATTTCAATCGGATTTGCTATAATTTTATCAGAAATAACTCGTAAAAATACATGCACCTAGACTGCAAAAACCACTGAGTAACAACTTTCTAGCTAATCTGTCGGAGTTTTTAAAAAATTGTCAGATTCGTAATCAGCGACCCCGGAAATCCCCTGAGAAACTAATTTCAAGCGAATCTCCGATTTATAATATCTTCATTTTTCTTGACAAGGTCAATTTCTTGTATTTTAGCATGAGACACAAGGGTTTAAACATTAAAATTTTTTTAAATAATTTAGATCAAGAGAAAAATCGATTGTATTAAAATTTAACGTTAGTTAATGTGATAACAAGTTGTGATATCAAATCACTTGTTTAAAATTAGTCGGCAACGACCTCGCATGAAATATTAATACCATAATTTATAAATAAATATATTAATTTACCTCATTTCTGCTTCTTCTTGACGTCGTTTCTCTTCTTCCTTTTCTTTATCCTTCTGCTCCCTCAGAATCCTCTTCTTATCTTCTCGCTCCTTCCTGTCTCTTTCTTCTCTCGCTGCTCGAAAATTAACTTGTTCTGATCTTTTTGTTTTGTTCAATCGATTTACTATTACATTTAGACGTTTTGAAACATGAATTTTACGGACTTCTTTTTCTTTATGAAAACTCACTTGTCCAACATCCATTCCTTGAGTTTTCTTTAGATTATGCCACATTGTATAAACAACATCTATATCATTCATTTTATTTCCTTCTATACTGTTTGCTTTAACGAGTTGTGCGGCATCTTCCAACACTGAACTTGGAATGTCATCAATTGTCTGGCCCTTCATTTATTTAGAAATTATATTAAATTTCCGATTCAGTACCGCCGGAAATTTTCGATACGACTACTAAGAGTACTATCCAAAAACTCACTTGTCTTTAAACCATGATAAGTCAGTCAATATATAAGTTATACAGTTCAAACAAAAACCTTTGAAAAGCTTATTAAATTCTGAATCTAATGATACATTGCAAAAAAAATCTGAAATTTACATCAATTCACTGCTGAGACCTCATTTTTTATTTAAATTCAAGAAAGTTAAAAAATCTTAACAGGTTCTCAAAACTACATGATTTGTCGAATTTTCATGGTTTTGAGTATAAACATGCTCGAAGCTTTGTACTGATATCTTAAAAAACCAGTTAAGATTTTTTAACTTTCTTGGATATAAATTAAAGATGAAGTTTAATCGGTGATTTGATATAAATTTCAGAATTTTTTCTACAATTTTGTAAAAATATACTGATAGTTTTTTTATCCTGAACTTGTCAAGTCACATAAGTTTTTTAAAGGGTTATACAATTTTTAGCAATATACCATTAGACGCAGAATTTAAGGAGCTTTTCAATGGTTTTGTTTTAACATTCAAACTTATATATTGATTGAGTTATCATGGTTTAAAGACATGTGTGTTTTTGGATATTTTCCCTACTTGTATCAACAATTTCCAAATGTAGTGTAAATAATCATGAACATTTAATGCTTGATTTAAGTTTTTTAAGATTTTCAAAAAAATTAAAATTTTCATTTTTTTTTAAATTAACTTTTATCTAATAAAAATTTTAATTAATTCTCGAATTAATACTCCTCCCTATATTTCGTTAGAAAACAAAAATACTTTACATCAACTTACACATCGAAGTCTTAAATACACGTGAGCTGACGAAAACTTGTCTACGTGAAACCAAACATCTTCCGGCCATCCCCATTTAATAAGATCTTCATCTAAATGAAACAATAAAATAAAAATATGATATAAGTTTTGAATTATAAAATAGTAGCTAATTTATGTTCTAATTAATAATTAATTGTATTAAATTCCACAATGTAAAACTCGACACAATATTATTTTGTAATGAAAAATTAAATTTGTTAAATTGCACACCGCTAAACTCCTCAGTTATTTAATTTATAATAGAAAACTAAATTTGTTAGACTCTGCACAATTAAACTGCACATGGTTAAACTCTACGCAAACTAAGCTTACAAATTTATTTTTCTATTATCAATTAAATTTGTGAAGAATTTAAAGGTGAGCAATTTAACTGTGTAGAACTTAACAAATTTAATTTTTCATTACAAAATAAATTTTGTGTAGAGTTTAACGGTGTGGAATTTAATATAATTAATATTTCTTATAAAATAAATTTGTGTATTTTAACATTGTACAATCTAAATTTGTGGAATTTAAAAATAAAATTATAGAGTTTAACGGTGTGCAATTTAACTATGTAGAATTTTAAGTGTAGGGTTTTAACGTTGTAGAATTTAGATGTGTAATATTTGAACCGCCCCGCCAAAAATTTGTCAAAAAAGTCTTCAGAAATTCAAATTTACAAAAAATTTTATTTTAAATCGCCTAATTGTGACGATTTGTTTTAGTTAGTAAAGTACACTGTAAAAAATCTTTTCAGAGATCATCCACAATTTGTAATTGTGTTGAAATTTGTAAAATTGCTATATTCAATAAGGTTATGTTACCACATTAAAAAGAGCACTTTTAATATTTTCTGTAAATTTACTACTTTCAAAGTGGGTAATAGTTGCAACATAATTAGTTGTTGCATCCGTCCACTATTACTCACTTTGAAAGTAGTAAATTTACAGAAAATATTAAAAGTGCTCTTTTTAATGTGGTAATATAACCTTATTAAATATAGCAATTTTACAAATTTTAATACAAATACAAATTGTGGATGTATAATCGCCAATAAATTTTTTACAATGTAATTGTATGAAAATTTAAATAAATTTTGACGATGAAAAATTTTTTTTACATCACATTTAATTCTTTGGATTTGAAAATTTTCCTCTTAATTTTGAATTTTAACCGTATATCTTATGCAGAAATTTTTATAGTATTTTAAACTATAAACATTATTTTATAAAATTTTAATAATCAGACATTTTTGACGCAATATTTTTACCTGGTCAAGATATTTTAGAATGGTACATTGTCCTAAAATATTTTAAAGTAAAAAAAAAACCTTGAAAATTTACGTTTTTTTATTAAACAATTATCAGTAATTTGTTTATTTTTTAATTTATGGATTTTTCTGATGCACCATTTGAAAGAGCGGTTTCTGGGCCATAAGAAATATATATTGCCAATTTTTTTATATTGCGTATTGTTAGTTTAAAAAATTGTCAAACTTTAAGTTAAATTTTTGTATATTTAGTCCTTAAAGGGTTAATAGAATAAGAATTTTTAGCAATTCTAATATATATAAAGTTTAATTAGAAAAGTATAAATACTTACTTTCGTGCTTGTCAACACCCATAAATAAAGTTACAGGTGGTTCCACCACTGCAAATTTCAAAAAAACATGTAAATAACTATTTCTAACCTATATTAACAATTTATCTTTTAACAAACAACTATAACCTCAAGATTTCTGAGAAAACTGATATTCTAAAAATATAAAATATACTTACCATCACTTTCAAAATAATACACCATTTTCAAATAAAACACAAACTAACAATACTTTTATTATTATATTTTATATATTATATACATACAAATATATTGAAAAATCCATAAACTTCAATCGTAAGGTTATACGCACAATAGTTTCGCGTAGACCGTTCACGCCGTTCATGAATAAAGGCCTGAGCAGAATAGAAACGTAACCGGAATCGTAATCGTAAACGCAACTGCAAGAATGAGTTAGAGAAGGACAAACAATATGTCTATCCTTCTCTAACTTATTCTTCCGGTTGCGTTTACGATTACGTTTTCAGTAACGTTCCATTCTGCTCAGGCCTTTAGAAGCATGCGATAGAAAAAGATACAAATATATGAAGTCTAAGGGCCAATGCACAATAGTTTCACGAACAAGATAAATGAGATAGAAAATCTTTCTTTTTATTACCCACTTTTTAATGTGTCACTATTACATAAACAAGTATTGAACCATATTAAAAATGTCAATATTTCTTGGTTTGGTAAAAAAAATTCCCATCTTCTAGATAATTGCGCCATTTTAAACATGGTAAGGTTACGTTCGGCAATGAAATTTTCTGATAAGGCTGTTCAACTTGTAAAGTAGCGTGACGTCACTTTTTAAAATGGCGGCTCGTCGGAAGACATACAATCCACTGACTTCAATGCATTGTATGTCTTCCGACGAGCCGCCATTTTAAAAAGTGACGTCACGCTACTTCACAAGTTGAACTGCCTTATCTGTTGTAATTTCGCAGTCATTAGTCATTTCATCTCTTTGAATATGCGAACGATTATCACTCTCTTTAAAAGAAACAAATTTACCGTCAAGGAATAAGGAAATTCACCGCGGAGTTGAAAATCCCAATATTCCAAATATCATATTTGGTATTTTTCCATTTTTGCATATGTACATATTTTCAGTTTTAAAATTGACGAAATTTTGACGATTTATTAATTTTCCATTTTTTGATCATTTTCAAAATTGACCTAATTTTGTTGACTTATCAATGTAGACCAGTTTTTAATCATTTGAAAAATTGACTGAAGTTTGACCCCAGGTGCAAATGATTCGTAAGGAATTAGTTTGGAATTCGTCCAGATTTCCGAAAGAATTCGTTTAGATTTCGTCCAGATTTCCTGTCGAATTCTGGAAAACGCCGTGTGGAAATTTGAAACAGAATTCGTCCATAATTTAATAGGAATTCGTGCGACTTTTTTCAGAAAAATGAATACAAAAAAAAATTTTGACCAAATTTTCGACCGAAATTCGTATGGTATTCGTGAGAATTACTAAGGAATTCTTTAAATAAACTTCGTGTGGATTCCTATAAGAAATTGATGGGAATTCCGAACGGAATTTTGGATGAAAATTTTTTTTAAAAATATATTCGCCTACTTTTCCGACCGAATATTGCGCGGTATTCGTGCGAATTACTAAGGAATTGATAGGAATTCGTACGAATACCGCGCACTATTCGGTCGGAAAAGTGGGCGAATATTTTAATATTTGAACAATTTGAACAACATGTTCATTCATCAGGTCATGTATACAATAGCAGCAAGTGAACATGTAAAAAGAATTGGAACAACGATTTTGTACAACAATATGTACAAGAACATTCATATGTTTATTCACGGTAAAAGAAATCAAGTATACGAGTCCATGCTTGTGTACTTGTATGTAAGATCGTGCTATTATTGAGATTATTGAGATTATTGTGATTATTGAGATACTCAAATGAGAATTTGAGAAGTATTACTGTAATATGTATTACCCGGTAATATTACAAAAAATTTCAATAACCACTAAAACATATTTGACTGATGATTAATTCTAATCTTTTTCTGCTTTATCATAAAAAACTTTGAAATTTTTATGTATTTCGAATAAGCGTGTAACATTACAGTAATATTAACCGGTAATATTACCACGAGGTGTACATTTTAATATTACTGTACTGTTACAGTAATACTACCAAGTAATATTATTGTAATGTTACGTGCTACTTGTGGATCGTCAAAATTTCATCAAATTTTTTTAAGAATTAGATCATTGACAATAATAATTCACAGAAAAAACCTAGTCTCATTTTTGCTGAAGTTCAAAATGAGTCAATGCTAAACGACATAGACAGTGGCGCCACCAACCTGACTAATTTTTGCTGCATATCAAAATGAGTAGCGTATGCTATTCATTTTGAGTTCAGGTTTTTTCTGTGTTGAAACTGACGTCATTTTGATTGACGATTTCTCTCTGGGATTACCCAACTAAAACGCTCTTTTATTGGGGAATTACTCCCACTCTTTGAATTTTGGGCACTATAAAATCGATTTTTGACAGTAACTTCCTAACAGTCGTAAGTTTAATTGTCGCTTAGAATACTTGCAAAGAAAAAACATTTTGCAAAAATTTTATTACTTACAACAGTTGTATTTCAACATTTACAAGTCTTCATCAATATGTCTCCAATCTTTACGTTTACATTACTTTTGGCCATTGCTGGAGTTCGTAAGTAGTTTTTTACACTTTCATTATTTTTATATTCATAAAAATTGTTAAATTTATTACAGTAAGCTTACACAGTAAGGTCGTGGTAAGTTTACATGATAAGGTTGTAGTAAGCTTACACGGTAAGGTTGTTGTAAGCTTCCCGTAAGGTTGCTGTAAGGTTACTGTAAACATAGAATTGGCGATTCAAACAGCTACACTAGCGCCACAGTTGAACTAATTTAGGCGTGACTCGCTCTGTAGCACTCCATGTGTTTTAAATTATTTTTTTTTATTTAACGCTTAAAAATAATTTTACAAACGCAATAAAAATATCAGAATAATTAAATAATTTGAAATAAACTGTCAAAACAGAGACTGCTTTAGAGCGAGTCACGCCTAAATTAGTTCAACTGTGGCGCTAGTGTAGCTGTTTGAATCGCCAATAAATAAATTTTATTAATATTTATGCGCAGTAGTTTTCTATGGCACATACGGCTGCGCAGTAAATTTTGTGTAACAAACCCTATTGGGGTTCATGAAGTACTTTACCAAATATATAATTTTTTATAAAAAAAATTTATAATATAATTATTTTTAATATATTTTCATATTAGTCTATGTTTACAGTAACCTTACAACAACCTTTCAATAACCTCACAGCAACCTTACAGTCACCTTACAGTCACCTTACAGTCACCTTACAGTCACCTTACAGTAACCTTACAGTCACCTTACAGTAACCTTACAGTAACCTTACAGTAACCTTACAGTAACCTTACGGGAAGCTTACAACAACCTTACCGTGTAAGCTTACCACAACCTTACCATGACCTTACTGTGTAAGCTTACCTTATGTTTACTGTGTAAGCTTACTGTAATGGCGGAAGTTTTAAGATGACCTCAAGTTTACTGTAGGCCTACACGGTAACCATACAAACCCTACAGATATCCTTACAGTAACCGCACAGCAAGAAGTCGTGCTATGTGGGAGTAAACGAAAATAAAACGAGATGAATAGGAATGAATTGCCTTCTCGCGAATTCGGATTAATCCCGTTTTCTGGTCCGCCAGGACGAATTAAAAGGAATAGAAATGAATTCCCCGTAAGAAGGCTTGCCTTAAAAAGCATTAAATATATACACATATGTAACAAATCTAGGTCTCTGTTACAAAAACTAAAAATTTAGCTTTAATTATTATAATAAAATTAGAGTTAGTTACATTTTGTTTTTATTTGATGTCAATAATATAAATAAAAAAAAGTATTCTTCCGACGTGTTGACTCTGAGACTCGTACCCTCGACTATCATAGCTTCAACCGCGCGCACTAGGAGCGCCTTAAAACGCTCGATCAGGGGAGGCAATGAAAATTTTTGAGAAAATGTCTCTTATACACTATAAGATTATACACTATTATAAGAAATTCTTATTGAAAATTCATACGACCCACGCTGTACATAAAGTTATATATTGATTTTCACTATATTTCATCATTGTTTTTTATTTCTAAAATAAAAATTTGAATTTAGATGACATTGAAAATCTCTGGGTAATGAGTTTTAAGTAAATTAGACTGATTTTTAATTTTCCTGCCCGTCATATTGGATTTACCATATTGAATTTTGAAAAACTAATGTCACATTCGTAATCAGCGACCCCAAATACCCTCCGAGTAACGTGTTTCAATATGTCCGCCATATTGGATCCGCCATATTTTATTTTTAAAAACGGACTTTAGACAATTCTTTAAATTGTATAAATATTCAAAATAAAATTCAATTTTATTTATAGTACCCCAAAAACCAAACGATGAACATCAATGTGGACCCAATGAATTATTTAATGAGTGTGGAATTTCAAGAAATTGTCACAACACATGTCTCATTTTAAATAATTCAAATTGTCTTAATGACACGGTAAGTTCCTTTATTAACTAAATGTTGCTGGGTTGGTGGGAAAAAAGGGATACGTCATTAGTTAAATATAACCAGACGTGTCCTTTTTTCCCACTGACCCAGCGATATTTAAAAAAAATAAATACTTAACAGTACTTTAATATAATTTCAATTTTTCATTTATCAATTAAAAGCAATAAAAATTGCAATTATTATTTTTTTTTTAAATAATAAACTTTACATTTCATTTTATTTATAGGAGTGTCATCCTGGCTGTGAATGCAAATTTGGATATGTAAGGGACCTTAAGTTCAATATGTGTATTTTACCTGAAGAATGCCCAATACAAAGTAAATTTGAAAATATTATAAATAAAAAAATGTAATTTTTAAAATAAATAATTATTTACATCTAGAAAAATATTTTGATTCTTTAAATTGTATATTATATATATAAAATAAAATTCTATTTTAATTATAGGACCTCAACAGCTAAACGATCAATATCAATGTGGACCCAATGAAGTTTTTGATGAGTGTGGAATTTCAAATTGTGAAAGCACATGCCAAATAATTGAAAAGAATTGTGTTAATAACATAGTAAGTTGTTTTATTAACTACATATTGATATAAAAATTCATTATTGATCAGTACTTTGATATAATTAAATTTTCATTTTCCAATTCAATTTGAAGCAATAAAAATTGCAATTATTATTTTTTTTCAAATATGTTTAAACCTTACATTTCAATTTTATTTATAGGGGTGTCGTCCTGGCTGTGGATGCAAATTTGACTATGTAAGGGACCTTGAGTCCAATAGCTGTGTTTTACCTGAGCAATGCCCAATAGAAAGTAAATTTCAAAATATTATATATAAAAAAATATAATTTTTAAAATAAATAATAATTATTTACATCTAGAAAAATATTTTGTTTCTTTAAATTATATATTATATATTTAAAATAAAATTCAATTTTAATTATAGGACCTGAACAACTAAACGATCAATATCAATGTGGACCCAATGAAGTTTTTAATGAGTGTATAATTTCTGATAGTCAAAGAACATGTCAAATAACTGAAAACTATGGTATTTATGAGATAGTAAGTTGTTTTATAAACTACATATTTATATAAAAAAAAATCGTTATTGAACAGTACTCTGATATAATTAAATTTCCATTTTTCAATTTAATTTCAATTTGAAGCAATAAAAATTGCAATTATTATTATTTTTTTTAAATATGTTTAAACCTTACATTTCATTTTATTTATAGGGGTGTCATCCTGGCTGTGAATGCAAATTTGAATATGTAAGAGACCTTGAGTCCAATAGCTGTGTTTTACCTGAGAAATGCCCAATAGAAAGTAAATTTCAAAATATTATAAAAAAAATATAATTTTTAAAATAAATAATAATTATTTACATCTAGAAAAATATTTTGTTTCTTTAAATTATATATTTTATATTTAAAATAAAATTCAATTTTAATTATAGGACCTGAACAGCTAAACGATCAATATCAATGTGGACCCAATGAAGTTTTTAATGAGTGTATAATTTCTGATAGTCAAAGAACATGTCAAATAACTGAAAACTATGGTATTTATGAGATAGTAAGTTGTTTTATATATAATATAATTAATTTCACATTTTTCAATTTAATTTCAATTTGAAGCAATAAAAATTGCAATTATTATTATTTTTTTAAATATGTTTAAACCTTACATTTCATTTTATTTATAGGGGTGTCGTCCTGGCTGTGAATGCAAATTTGAATATGTAAGAGACCTTGAGTCCAATAGCTGTGTTTTACCTGAGAAATGCCCAAAACAAAGTAAATTTCAAAATATTATAAATAAACAAATATAAGTTTAAAAATAATTATAGGTAATTCAGGCTCGAGAGATCTTGGCACATCCTCGAGTTCGCATAACAAGTTTTGGCCTCTGGTTTTAAAATTTTGATATTTTCATTGTCAAATTCTAACAATAGGTATATCAACTGTTAAAATCTGACATTGAACATTTTCAAAATTTTAACTCCAGGAACCAATTTTTTTTATGCAAATTCGAGCGTGTGCTCTTTTAAGATCCGTAGCCTCAATTATAAATAATTATATAAATATTATAAGCTCTTTTCTGATAATCGTCTAGATTTTATTGATTTTAATTTTCCAAATCAAATAAAAAAATAGATAATAGGTTTGAAGTAATGTACAAATTCAATATTTATTTAAATTTATATGATCAGTTTTTAGCGATTTTTATTAAAAAATAATATAAAAAATAAGAATAGGGAATAAATAAACCTTCGATAAATAAATTAATACAATTGAGGGCCTGGAAAGCACAACCGACGAAGCGCTCGGACTCAGGCAGTGAGTAGTGGGGACATTGCCAGAGGACGCACTCACACCTCCGGCTGCCTGCACAGGCAGCCAGTGAGAGCCAATCAGAGAGTCAGTAGATCGAAATATGGCAATATCCCCACTACTCACTGCCTGAGTCCGAGCGCTTCGTCGGTTGTGCTTTCCAGGCCCTCAATTATGATATTCATAAATATTTTCATCATTTTTGTTCCTATTATTTTTATTTTTTTAATAAGATACATACATCTGAAATTATTTTCACTAATCTTATCTTTAAATTCATAAATTTGTTTGAATTTTTATAGAAATGTTTTATTAAATTTTTCATTTTAAGGTATCCAGCAAAGGGAAAAGAGATCAAAAAAATTATTTCGAAGACGAGAATGGCCTCTGTTATGGAATTCACTACCCAAATGTTGAAAAATGAGTAAAATAAAATGATTCAGTTAATTATATAATTTTATAAATAATATTCTGGACAAATAAACAAGAAGACTGCAACTGTAAAAAGTTTATAAATCTTTTCTTTTAGTGATAGCTTGGGCAAACTTTGGGTCAACCCATATTGGCCCCAACTGGGATTTCCCAAAGTAATCCCAAAGTGAAGTTTATTTGAATTTGCTGTTACAAATCAGTAAAAATTGATAAACATCAATATTTTTTAAACAATTAGTGTTACAAATAAATTCAGTTACCGTAGAAACTTATATTTCATGAAATAAATAAATAAATTACAAAAAATTCGATAAAAGTTTAATAATTTTTAACTACAATTTTTATAAAAATTTATTCAACTAAATTATTATTTACTTATATAAATTTCATTATTAAAATACATTAAAAGTATACCATTAATTAATTGCAATTTTTGTTAAGGGGAGAAACCACATTACGACGCTGTTATTTAGCCGTTTTTTGGGATTTTTTTCAAAAAATGATTCCCTTAGTATGATACTGAGGGAATATTCCCGTGAAATTCATGTAATATGGAGGGGATATCCCTGTAATACTGAAGGAATATTCCTGTTATTTATAAAATTTTAAAATGTTGTTTATTTTGATTGTTTTGAATATTTAAATAAAAAGTTAAATAAATGGAAAAAAATAGAAAAAATTTTTTTTTTAGAATTTTTTAAATTATTTCATCAATATCACTGGAATATTCCCTCAATATCAGAGAAATATTCCCTCAATATTACAGGAATATTCCGCTCAATATCACAGGGATATCCCCTCAATATTACATGAATTTCACGGGTATATTCCGTCAGTATCATACGAATATCACACGAATGTCACAGGAATATCACCGTGGAATGTCCTCACACGGAGGTCTAGAAGCAGTCACAGGTATGACAAAAATGGATATGAAAAGTACAAAGTGGGTTTTGTTCGTGACTATTTCTAGTTTAAAAAATCGTTCAGACCAAAATCCTAGAGCCCCCTATTCTCAAGATATCGTCATTTCCGTTTTTTCAATCTTCTTGCGCAAAGTCAAGCGAAAAGCGCTCGCCTTTCTTACTTAAATATTTATGTTTTTATTATTTTTATTCAATCTTAAACGTATATTTATTATTAAAAAAATAATGGTAAGTAAAAAAAAAGCTATTAAATGACAATATTAAACCGTAAAGGTTTGAAGTGAAAATAAAATATCAATACCCCGTAAAAAACTTTCGAATTTAGATCAATATTGAATGTTAAGTTGAATTCTGCATAAACAAAATCCTGTAATCATATGAAGTTAGTCGTTTTTCAATGAGTTAAATGAGTTTAAATGAATTTTTAAAAATTGCTTGCAAGCTCCACGCGCGCTACGACAAACACGGACGTGGACAAATTAACATAGAGCTTACAAATTTCAACCGATTTTGACGTTCTTAGTCTTATTTTAAAGATGATAAAATTCTGCATAACGCCTTTGATTTTGTTTTTTGAAAAAAAAAATTTTCGAACAGTTTAAACAATTTTAATGATTTCAGTTCCGCGTTACGAAATTAATGACATATTGAGAGAAATGTGCAATATTATTAGTCAAGGTAAACGACTAATACTTACTTTAATTAATTAATTTAATAATAAATTTATCACTTGGTGTAATGAATAGTAATCGAAATAGTAATTAAAATAGTAATTGACCATTTTGACTTGGGTGAATTGATAATTTTATTCCATTACTACTTTAATTAATGTTTACACATAGCTTTGTTTAAACAACCCTTAATTAACAAATACATAGTACCGCTGGTTTTACAAGTTTCAGATTCGGTTTTGCTTTAAGTTTCTTTAAAGATAATGTATTTTTATAATAGGTAATTAAATTTTTTTCATCTTTATTATACTAGCTGTTCACATTAGTTATTGAAAGAGTAACTACATAAATAATTTAAATTTCATTTTATTGTTCATTGATGGTATTCTTTATCCATTTAATATAATTCCATACGTTGGCACTTATATCTGGATATCCTTTTGCACATGGGTAACCATGTAAGACAACTCCCACTTGATAATCTCCAAAAACTACTGGATTGCCCGTATCTCCCTGTAAATATTTTTTAATAATATTAACTATGTCTAATTAAACAAGTAGGGGATCATTTATATTCATTTCATGAACATTTTGCTTCCTCATTGTGTGAAACAAAAAATTTGCTTCCACGGCTGAAAAAACTTGCGTACAAGAAAATGTACAAGTTCTTGTACATGTTCATTAAAGTGTTATATCATGTGGGTTTAGTGGATGTTAATATTACTGGTTTGATTCCATTTCATGTAATAACAAATTGCTTACAGTTTAGAGTACATAAAGTCTATCCAGTTTCAAAGGGTAAAACACAAAGATGGTGTGTGAAAATGGACCAAAATGAAAATAATGTCCATGAGAAACAGTTGGCTTGCATGGCAAATGAACTCAATAAACTCTTAACCATGCCCATTAAATATTACTCGGATTTATGAATTTCTGATGCATATAATATTACAAATTTGAGTTTACTTATGTTTTTAGATCTTTAAGCAACAGTGTATAAATTCATATTTATTAAAAATAAGAAAAAAATTAACTTACTTCATTGTACACTACAAAAAATTTATTCAAATAAAAATGATTTGATTTAATTAAATTATTTACTTGTCTATTATCAATTAAATGGAGGGTTCGGTGAAATTTCAACCTATCCAAATGTATGTTGTTAAGGGGTGTCAATTTTTTGTCCAGCATTATTTGGGATCTACAATTATTTTGTATTTTTAAAATTAAAAAAAAAATTTCTAGACATTTTAGAAATTTTATTTTTTGAAAATATTATAATTCTTCAAAATCCATACGATTAATTTTTGAGCATCATAAAAAAATCTACAAAAAAATTGTCGATAAAAAATAATAAAAATTGTGAAAGAAGTTAAATTTTTACGAAAGAATCATTAACATTTAAATCAAACGTAATTGATTTTGTTTAGAATGAAAAAAAAGTTAAAAAGTTGTTCATTTCATGACCATTTAGCTTCCTCATAATGATAAACACTTATATATTATTAGTTTTAAAAAAATCCAAATTTTAATTTTTTGTTAAAAATAAAATCAATTTTACAAATATTGGTAAAATGTAAACTTTATATAAATCAATCAAATTAAAAATGATTTAATTTATAGATTTTAAGTAAATTATAGACTTTATATAGGTTAATCAATTCGCTGCTATGCGAGAAATCAGTTTTTTGGACAAAAAAAGTTAAATTTACAGTGTACAAAATTTTTTGGTTAAAAAACTTATTTTCGAATATTTGAAAAAGTGACAAAAAAAATTATGTGGATATTTTTAGAAAATCCTTGTGTCTGATTGTAGATATTAATGACTGCAATAAGCTTACAAAATTTCAGGAAAATCCATCAAAACGTGTTGAAGATAATTTGTACACAAGATTTTGTGACATACACACACATAAATCTAGACATTTGTTTAAAACTTCAAATATATGCAATCTAGATAAACATGAGCCCTTATAACCCATTTTTAAAAAATCGAAAATCGTCACGAATACGAAGCTTCCTCGGGAGGAGAGGAAGCAAAATTGGAAAAAATTTTGATTTTTCTTTTGTTACTCACGTTACATGAACCTTCCCCTTCTCTTGTAAATGTACAAAGATTCTCATCTGTTACTGGAGGCAAATCTTTAATTTCAGACATACGGTTCTTACAGGTGTTCAGATCAAAAATTTTACTTTGTAAAAATAACAATTTCTTAGAAGTTTTTCCTTCCTGAAAAATTAAAATTAGTTATGATATTAATAATAATTGATATTCATTGACAAGCAATTTTTAATTTTGGGTCATTCCATTTTATTTCACTTATAGTCGTTGTGGCCTATTTTTAGAAAAATCTGATATTTCGTAATAATGACTTTTAATATCCGTACAATTCATTTTTGACAATTACTTTATGAAATTTTTTTTTATTTACATTGGAATTTAGTTTTTAATTGAGTTGCACGGAAAATAGGTTATAGTTTAACTGCTTTGAAAATTTAATAAAAAAGAACAGAAATAATTTAGTTAGTAAATTTTTTTTCATTGATATTTGTTGAAAATAGTCTAATTTACCAATATTAATCTATAATTATGTAAAAAAGGCCAAAATGCTAAGTGAAAATAAATATTCAAACTTACGTGTAAAATGTCAAAATTTCCCAGTAAAAAAAAAGAATTGGGAGTAAGCGAAAAGAATTGGTGGTAACTTAAGCTGAATTCGGTTTGGCGAAAAAACCGAATTGGAACGTTACGGTGAATTATTTTTTTCTTACCGTGAATTCTTTTCTCTTAAACATTTGAATTAACGTTTGTTTATTCGAGTTTGCATTGTAAATGAATAAGAATAAATGTTTCGAAGTCTAAAAAAGCCGATTTGGAATAAGAAATATATAATTTTTTAAAAAGAAATAAAAGTGAAATGTGATAGATTTACCGACAATTTTACCATGTGAGTACTACTCATATGGTAAATTTATCATATGAACACTACTCACTTGATAAAATCGTCGGTGAATCTGTCACACTTCGCTTTCATTTATTTTTTTTAAATTATACAAATCACATGATTTGTATAATTTAAAAAAAATAAATGAAAGCGAAGTGTGACAGATTCACCGACGATTTTATCAAGTGAGTAGTGTTCATATGATAAATTTACCATATGAGTAGTACTCACATGGTAAAATTGTCGGTAAATCTATCACATTTCACTTTTATTTCTTTTTAAAAAATTATATATTTCTTATTCCAAATCGGCTTTTTTAGACTTCGAAACATTTATTCTTATTCATTTATAATGCAAACTCGAATAAACAAACGTTAATTCAAATGTTTAAGAGAAAAGAATTCACGGTAAGAAAAAAATAATTCACCGTAACGTTCCAATTCGGTTTTTTCGCCAAACCGCATTCAGCTTAAGTTACCACCAATTCTTATCGCTTACTCCTAATTCTTTTTTTTTACTGGGTTATCACATTTTATTTACATTTTCCAAGAAAGTTTATAAATATTATAAAATTTATTACTACCTAATAGTACAGTACCGTCCAGAAGTATCAGGACGATTACACGCGACTCTCTGAAAAAACATGCCATCACATTTTCAATCATATTTCTGCAACAAAAGGAGATACAAAAAAAAACTCAAAAACGGTTAGAAAGCTTATTAAATTTTGAATAAAATATGCCATGTTTGAAGCCATTCCGTTAATAATTTTCTGAGTTGTAGAGTAAGAATGATGGAAAATATATTATCAAATTTTCTAATTTTGGTCTCTTGACTTCAACATTTTCAAAAATCTAGAAAAATTTAGATAAAAATTTTTTAAAAACACAGAAATCTTCGCTAGAATTTCAGCTTTAAAATAAATTTTAGAAAATTAAAAAATATTAATCCGTCATCGAATTATCATTAAAAATGTGAAGCCGTGTTGCGCCCGATCGATGCTTTGAAAATCAACTGTGACGACTCGACTCCGGCTTTGCGCGGGAGAGAAAGCAGGGTCGGATTTATGAAGGAACGATAAAATTTCGAGTTTCTTTACATATTCGTCGTGAAACGTCATTATTTATTATTAGATATTTATGTACTTACAGTATGTCTCCCGCGCAAAGCAGGAATCGAGTCGTCACAGTTGATTTTCAAAGCATCGATCGGGCGCAACACGGCTTCACATTTTTAATGATAATTCGATGACGGATTAATATTTTTTAATTTTCTAAAATTTATTTTAAAGCTGAAATTCTAGCGAAGATTTCTGTGTTTTTAAAAAATTTTTATCTAAATTTTTCTAGATTTTTGAAAATGTTGAAGTCAAGAGACCAAAATTAGAAAATTTGATAATATATTTTCCATCTTTCTTACTCTACAACTCAGAAAATTATTAACGGAATGGCTTCAAACATGGCATATTTTATTCAAAATTTAATAAGCTTTCTAACCGTTTTTGAGTTTTTTTTTGTATCTCCTTTTGTTGCAGAAATATGATTGAAAATGTGATGGCATGTTTTTTCAGAGAGTCGCGTGTAATCGTCCTGATACTTCTGGACGGTACTGTAACTACTAATGAAAAAATCCCATTTTGGTTTTGAAATTCAAGTTAAATCTTCTTTATTCATATATATCTTATCAAAATTTGGTGATGGAGAACGAGCTAATGTTTATTTTTATTCACTTTAACCCGCTGCCTGTTGCTGAAGCATATATGCGCAAAACTAAAACTGGACAAGAGTGCATTTGACGCATATATGCGCAACTTATAAAAAGTGATTTAAAAAATCTTAAATATTCCTTAAACTGATTACACGAGGGTTTTCGGGGTCGCTGATTCCAAATCTGTCATCAGTTTTTCAAAATTCAAAATGGCGGATCCAAAATGGCGGATTGAAATTATTAAAAATGTGCGGATTCGATTGAAAGTGGTTACTCGTGGGTTTTCGGGGTCGCTGATTCCAAATCTGATATCAGTTTTTTAAAATTCAAAATGACTGATTTTGAATTCGTACAATTTTGATCCATTTTTCCATCATATTGAAGCTGACATTTATAATATTGAAATTCTGTATTCAAATTCGCAATCAGCGACCCCAAAAATACTTGTTTTTAACCTTCAAATTAGTATTTTACGGTGGATTTTTTAAAGTGAATGAAAATAAAAAGTAGCTCGTTCTCCATCACCAAATTTTGATAAGATGACTAAAGAAGATTTAACTTGAATTTTAAAACCAAAATGGGATTTTTTCATTAATCGCCTGCGAAGATATAAGTGTTCAAAATCAGATAAAAGCCTGAAAAGTTCAACATTCAAGGTAAAATTTTTCATATTTCTGCATTATAAAATTTAAAAGCCAACATATTATGTGTAAGTACATTGAAAGTACTTACTATTAGGTAGTAATAAATTTTATAATATTTATAAACTTTCTTGGAAAATGTAAATAAAATGTGATAAATTTTGACATTTTACACGTAAGTTTGAATATTTATTTTCACCTAGCATTTTGGCCTTTTTTACACAATTATCGATTAATATTGGTAAATTAGACTATTTTCAACAAATATCAATGAAAAAAAATACACTACCTAACTAAATTATTTCTGTTCTTTTTTATTAAATTTTCAAAGCATTTAAACTATAACCTATTTTCCGTGGAACTCAACTTAAAAACTAAATTCCAACGTAAATAAAAAAAAAATTCATAAAATAATTGTCAAAAATGAATTGTACGGATACTAAAAGTCATTATTATGAAATATCAGATTTTTCTGAAAATAGGCCTTATCGACTATAGGTAAAATAAAATGAAATGACCCTTTTAAAAATTTAAACAATAACAGAACACAAAATTTACCTTGAATGTTGATCCCCATCCAGATATAACTACCGGGGTGTCGGCAGTATTTAAATTTTTAAGTGGAAGATCAATTTTATTTAATTTTGTAGAAAAGGTTAATGTGTCTTGAAGTTTAATAAGTGCAATATTCTGTGAGTCATCTACGATTATTTTTTCAATCATATAAAACGAATTATATAAATCACTCCAATTAGTAATTCCAGCTCCTACGTAAAAAGAAGTTGGATGCCTCCTAATACAAACACACAAAACATTAATTGTTGATTATAAATCTAAAGTCAGATTTAAACATTCAAAATGACAGCCGATTTTTCAAAAATCGATTGGATTCACTTTAAAAATTTTTTTTTAAAGATCTTGTTTTTTGGGCCCAAAAGTTCACCCGTATTTGTTTTCCTGTGATAATTGAAAATTTATATAATCGATTATATAATTTATTATATATATATATATATATATATATATTATATAATTTTTTAAGAATTACAAATTAAAAATAATGATTAAATATAATAATTGATTAAGATATATTAATATATTATTTATTAATAATTTTTTCTAAAGAAAATTTACCCTCGAACACAGCGTGCTGCTGTTAAAATCCATTTTTCATTTAAAATAGAACCACCGCAAATATGTCCAGTAGCTAATTCGAAGAGAGTAACTTGATAGGGAAATTGTTCTGCGTGTGCCTGAGAACCGCCAACCAAACGTGGACTTATTTTTCTATTAGCTTGGAAAACAAATTTCATAATTAAACAACGTTCCCAGATAGCACGTAAGCTTCAAATGTCTCACCTGACCCAAGCTTGCATGGTAAGCTTACCGAAAGATTGCTCAGTAAGCCTACCGAAAGATGTTGGAAATATTGCGCGGCAAGCTTGCCTCAAGGTTGCTACACTGCCGTACGAAATAAAAACTTACTTAACTCATATTTTCGTGAAACCGAGAAAATGATGAAAGACTGTTTGTCTTAAAAAACCTAATATAATATAAATAATTCTTTAATCTAACTTCACTTTCTAGGTAAATAAATAGAGTTCTTTCTAAATCCGTTGTCAAAAATTGATTATTTAAACAAATTATATTAAATAATTGAGATAAGTGTTTTTTTACACAAGCAAAACTTAGTTAACTCGAGTTAAGGAGTGCTTTCCGAAAAGGTAGGCGAGTTCGAGCCGCCGCTCAGAAGTAAAAACTCACCTAACTCAAGCTAGCACGCGAGGTGGGGGAATAAATACACATTATAAAAAATTTGTTTTTGAGTTAAATTTTATTCTGATTGTGATTAACAAAGATTATTTTTATTATTTTTAATTTATATATTTTTTTATTATTTTATTATTTATTAATATTTTTTTAAAAATTAAATTTTAATCAACATGTTTCAGTATAAAATTTATTACAATTAAAAATGTGTAGAAGGATTGTATGAAAAAACGGCGTTATTAGTGGAAAAACATTGATTATATTTGCTTATAATATTCAAATAACTTACAACAGCTGTTTATAATTACTACAACAGTCTTTATATAATAATCAACAGTAAAAAACTATTAATTAAACTTTTTAAAAGTAAAAAAAATCAAAGAAAATTTTGTATTTTTTTCGTTTTTTTTTTCACTTATTCACTTATTTATTTTTTTCTAAAGTAAACTTTTTCTAAAAAGCCGGTGCATTATTTGCAAGAATAACAAACCGGCATGATCATAGCACGCGAGATTCCGAACCAACCCGACGAGAAACCGAAGTTAAACGATGTTGAGTTGAGGAGTTTGCTTTCGAAACACAGGGTCTAGCTCACGCCACTTTTCGAAATAAATACTCACTTAACTCGAGTTAAGGTTTTCGTTTCGAAACTATGCATGAAATTCGACTACGTTTTTGACAGCAAAAATACTCAGCTCGAGTTGACTGAGTTTTTGTTTCTTATATCATGCTCGAGCTACGACTTTCGGACTCCTTAACTCGAGTTAGCATACTTTTTATGTAGTATTTCTTCATTTTCTGGGTTTTCGACAATTTTTTATAATTATTTTTTTGCAATAAATAATTAAATAAAAATTTTTTAATAATACCATCAGACGCGTTTTTTTATTACGAATCCATTGATACTAAAAACTCATTTTTCGCCAAAATATGAGTTAACTAAGTTTTTACTTCGTACGGCAGTACAAGTTTACGTGCTATCTGGGATTCTATTAGTAGGATACAATTGACGATATAATTAAAAAATTGAACACTTCAAAAAGTAGGCAATTTATTATAAAACACATTAATAGTTAATTTAAAGGTGATTTCAAAAAGTTATCAAAATGCTCTCTAAATCTGTATTATTGAAAATTTTTAACTAATTTAAATTAGTGACTCAATTTTTGCTTTTGAATTAGTAAAATTCATCTAATTAGTAGTAAAAAAATGTTTTTTTTACTATCGAATTAGTAAACTTTAATTTATAATTACATATGATTAACATATTACACTTACCTAATGATAACGTGAAAGTGAAAATCAATAGCACAAAAATTGTTAAGTTTGCCATGGTTGAAGTTTTTTTTACACTATAGCGAATTGAAGTTATCAAGAAATATTTATACTATACGAGAAGGAATAACTATATCTTCTCACTATCAAATCTCGCTACTGATATACTTTTTGATATCAAAATTTATTTGATAATATTAATTTAAGAAAAATATTTTCAAAATAAAGGAAGTTGTGAAATAGGTGCTCGAAAAAGAATATAAGTTTGATATGCTTATTAACGATAAGCAATTGAAGATTTCAATCAAATAATCTTCGCTCGTCTGCATATTCTAATAACAATTAACTCTCCAAATCTAAATTATAGTCACTTTTGATTAATTTAAATGTGCCGATTCGTTCTTTAAATGAATTAATAACCGTTTTGCAAATTTTTAGTCAAAAATGACTAATTGTTAGTAAGAAACTACTAATTTGTTTATTATGATTACTATTTTAATTAGTACCCTGTGGGCAAAAAATCATGTTCGTTCTAAAAACGTTTTAGGAACGTGTTTAGAACGTTTCATGTCCACCAAATAATGTTCTGGAACATTATTTGAACATCCATGTTCTTAAAATGTTCCAGAACATTATTTGGCGGACATGAAACGTTCTAAGAACGTCCTTAAAACGTTTTTAGAACGAACATGGTTTTTTGCCCACAGGGTAAACTTTAACCCTTTAAGGACGGGAAGGACCCTTTTTTAGAGCAATTTTCAATGACATATTTCTCTGCGACTAAGAGTTTTAAAATTTGAGAGGAAGTGTGTCTTATGTATTCGATATCGCTCTTTCAGAAACCATATTAAAATTTTTGAAAAAATCAAAATTCAAAAAGTTACGGCCATGATTTTGAAAAAAACACGGTTTTTTTGAAAATTTTTTATTGTAAATTATTATGTTTCGAAGCTATTCGCCTTAGGAGATGCATAAAACTCTAAAATATCGTGTCCTAAATCTTCAGACATGAAAATGGTGGAAAAGGTTTTTTTTAAATTCAAGATGGCGTACCAAAAATGGCGTCCAAATTCAAAATTTTTTACCAAATCACAACCTAGTGGACGAAATTTTAAAAAATGCTCCTATGTGCTTGAAATTTGTTAGTCGGGGGGTTTTTGGGGTCGCTGATAACGAATCGGATGTTAGTTTTTCAAAATTCAAAATGGCGGATCCAATATGGCGGACGACTTTTTAAAAAAGTTGATCCAACTTGCCTGAAATTTGTTACTCGGGGGTTTTTGGGGTCGCTGATTACGAATCTGAAGTCCGTTTTTGAAAATACAAAATGGCGGATCCAATATGGTGGACGGTTTTTTAAAAAAGGCTCAAATTTGCTTGAAATTATTTACTCGGGGGTTTTTGGGGTCGCTGATTACGAATCCGATGTTAGTTTTTCAAAATTCAAAATGGCGGATTCAATATGGCGGACGACTTTTTCAAAAATTGATCCAATTTGCCTGAAATTTGTTACTCGGGGGTTTTTGGGGTCGCTGATTACGAATCTGAAGTCCGTTTTTGAAAATACAAAATGGCGGATCCAATATGGCGGACTACTTTTTAAAAAAGGCTCAAATTTGCTTGAAATTATTTACTCGGGTGTTTTTAGGGTCGCTGATTACGAATCTGACATTAGAATCTTTAAAAAGTTATTTCGGATTAATTAGAGACCCCAAAAACTCCCGAGTAACAAATTTCAAGCTATTTTCGTGTAATAATTAATATTTTATATCTTATTGTTTCCATTATTTTTAATTCTTAAAAATTATTATTTGTTAATTTTTTATAGTTTTATTGATATAATGTCAAAATAGTTATTTTGTAAATTAAGCTTTGCTTATTTAGTTTATGTTGAATGTTATGTAGCTTATACCAATAACTGAGAAACTTTAGTGTATTTATTATATTCCAACTTTGTTTGGTTCAGTACTAAATTATAAAAAGATGTCGCTAAGTCGGGTCTTCAAATTTTTGTCACGTTTCATTAAATAATAAAAATTATTCTTTAAAAGGTGCAAATATTTGAAATTCTTTCAAAATTTAGGTATTATTTATATGGATTTAAAAGGATAAACTTTAGTACCACGAATTACTATATTTATGTAAAAGATCGCTATCCTAATCCTGTCATAAAGTACCCTTATTAAGGTACGATGTACTTTACGGTACATCTGAATCATAAAAACTCAAAATATGCTATGTTTATTCGTGAATATTCGTAAATTGTCGGTAATATTCGTGATTTTCATAGTTTTGTAAGGTCTTCGTTTTCACACATTCTTTTGAAAAGACAGTTGTCATTTCGTCGGCACCCAGCATAGGTCCAAATAAATACATTTAAAACAGAGTAAAGTTCGTTTATTCAGTCTATCACCTAAAATAAGGGATAAAATAACATTTATTTTATCTCACAATTTCTGCTACATATAAATTAAATAAAATTAAAGAGAATTTAATTTATTACGAATTATCAGAAATTATTCATGGTCCTTCGAGCCGGATTATTGTGTCTAAAAAGGTGCCGCGAACTCTAAGCATATAAGAGTGACAACTCGATTAAGTCGTGAATTTGTATGATTTAGTTAACGAAAAATCATAATATTAATAAACTCAACGACTAAAACGTTACTTTTGTTAAATTATTGATGAAATTTCTATTTTATAAACGAAAAAATAGAAGGAACAGTTAGTGTGTTATACTAATCTTTATTCAGATTAAATAACGTAATAAAGTCAGGACATTTTAAATCTTGAATACATCAGTGAGTTTCAACATTGACTTTAATGTAAATTGTGAAATCTACCGTCAGTAACATTTCGTGAATTCAGCATTTGTTACGAGTGACTCAAATCTCATCTGAGCAGCCATCATCAGTAAACATCATTGCAGAAGGAGAAATTCATCAGGAAAAGGGTAAGCTCAAACGATTGCATCACATTTTCCTTTATTAATTTACTCCTAATTTCTATATCCGTCTTTAACGATGGCGAACGCTGAAATGTTGAAAAAACTTAATCAAAAACGCGGAACTCATAAATCACAAGTCACAAATTTTCGTAAATTTATTGAAGATTATAAAAATGCTCAACCAGATTTAATTAAACTAACCATACGATTGGATAAATTTAAATTGTCATTTTCTAATTTTGATACGATATCAGATGAATTAGAACTGATAGATGAAACTTTTGATCATTCGTCAGAAAGGTTTAAAATTGAAGATTCATTTCTCGATTTGGTAACTGAAGCTGAACACTTAAAAAACGCGATTACGTTAAACTCTCAAGGCATTCCTGGAAATTCGCAAAATCTTCCTAGGGAGAATACAGCCAATCAATATAAACGTCGCGTAAAATTACCAGCAGCTTCTCTTCCAAAATTCAACGGAAAATATGAGGATTGGCTTTCATTTAAAGATGCTTTTACTTCTATGATACATGATCAAGAAGATTTAACTAAGGTAGAAAAATTGCAATATTTAAAGTCTACGGTTACAAACGAAGCCGCCAATAAAATAAAACATTTATCGATTACTGATGAAAATTATGATCGTGCGTGGAAATTATTGTCAAATGCATACGCGGATAAAAGATTAATTATTTCTAGACATTTGAGTTTGTTGCTGCGTCTTCCAGTTCAAGAAAAAGAAAGCGCGGAAGGTTTGAGGCGTATAGCTGACGAGACGCAACAACATTTAGAGTCGCTTAAAACTTTAAATATAAACGTTAATGATGAGATCGTCGTGCAAATTTTGGAAGAAAAGCTTCATAAAATAACCGCTGAAAAGTGGGAAGAAACTTTAAATCGAGATTCATTTCCTACATTAGATGAGATGATCACATTTCTAAATAAAACAGCTTCACGATTATCAAAACGAGAAAAGGAAAAATCAGAATTAACAAGCTCTCAAAATTCCGCAGCAATAAAATCATCGAGTGTCAATCAAAATAAAAATCGAAAATCTACAAAACAAGCCTTTTTTGCAAAAACCGGTAAGGTTTGTTTAATTTGTAAAGAGCAACATCCAATTTTTAAATGTGAAACGTTTCGCAGTTTTTCAATACCTAAACGTATTCAAACAATAAAAGATGCGTCCCTTTGTCTAAATTGTTTTAGAGATCATGGAGAAAAGGCGTGTAACTTTGGAAAATGTTTACTATGCAATGAACCACACAATACTCTCCTCCATGACCAGGGTAAAAAATGACTATCACCTTCTGCAGGCATAGAACAAAATTTTTCTGTTACGTTTCAATCGCCAGCCAGTCAATTAATTACTACCGCATTAGTAAACGTGTATAACAATAAGAATCAATTAATAACAGGCCGAGCCCTGCTTGATACTTGTTCTTCTGCAAATTTTGTAACAGAAAAGTTTATAAACAAACTTGGAATTTCAAGAAAAAGATGTTCTATCCCTGTAGGAACTCTAGGTGATAATACAACTGTTACAAAACATGTTGCTACACTTACAATTCGTTCAATGCACAATAAGTTTGAAAAGACTATCACTTGCTTAAGTGTACCTCAGATTTCAAACCTCGTTCCTAATGAGCATATCTCAAGAAAATCTATTCACGTTCCACCTAATATACCATTAGCAGACCCAAATTTTAATGAGCCATCAGCCATTGATTTATTAATTGGGTCTAATTAACTGGATCGTAGGTGGGACTCCCTGTAGCGATAAGGGTAATAAAACTCAGGTAGATTGTCACTTGGTCGAACTACAAAAACTTGTGGCTAATTTTTGGGAAATAGAAGATGGGCAAAATCTACCTCATTTTTCTATTGAGGAGGAAAGGTGCGAAAAACATTTTCTTCAGCACGTCACGCGTAACAAATCAGGTAATTATGTCGTTGCTTTGCCTTTCAAAGATAACAAAGAAACATTAGGTGAATCGTTTTCAAGGGCATTGAATAGGTTTAAATCATTGTCATATAAATTCGACAAAAATTCCGAATTTAAAGAGCAATACACAACGGTTATGAAAGAATATATGTCTTTGAATCATATGACCGAAATAAAGGATGCAGATCCTAAAATAGGGTATTATCTACCTCACCATGCAGTTATTAAAGAAAGTAGTTTATCTACAAAATTACGTGTAGTTTTCGACGGTTC